AGGGAAGGGGTATTAAGGCATTTGGGAACACGTCGTATTTTAAAACTACCACAAAGGGCCATGGCATAGGCACGGTACCGCTAACCTTCTCAGAACTTCCCAGAGGGACCAGGTTACACAGCCTCATGGGGCAGTAGCATTAACAAGCCATGGGCGAGGGGCCAGCACCATGGCACAGCAAGTTAAAGCCCTGGCCTGAAGCGCCAGCATCCCATATGGGCACCGGTTCTAGTCCCGGCTGCTCCTCTTCCAGTCCAACTCTCTGGGAAAAGCAGTAGAAGATGGCCTAAGTCTTTGGGCCCCTGCACCCACGTGGGAGACCCGGAAGAAGCTCCTGGCTCCTGGCTTCGGATCGGCGCAGCTCCGGCCGTTGTGGCCATCTGGGGAGTGAACCAGCAGATGGAAGACCTCTCTCTCTCTCTGTCTCTACCTCTTTCTGTAACTCTTTCAAATAAATAAAATAAATCTTTAAAAAAATTAAAAAAAAAAAAACAAGCTATGGGCAAACGTCGACTATTGCAATACAGGAATGAAGAAAAGGCAGGAGACAAATTCAAAGTAGCCCCCCAACCCCCAACACACACACAGAATTTTGAATGCGATGGTTTCTCATGGTCAATTTGGAAGAAATCCCGTATGTCAGAATAACGAAAGCGGCTTTCTTACGAGGCTGAGACTCACTTCTCCCCTCCCCATTCTCACTTTTCTTGTTTTCTTATTCTTGCTGCCTTGGGACGACACATTCAGTAAAGCTCTGGCAGGTCATCTTCGTCTCCAGTCCCGGATTCTAGAATCGTGGGTGGACGCAGAAGTGAATCTTGGAAACTGGCATAAAAGTATCTTTGGATGGCTCAGCCCAGGCCTAAATTTCCTCCTTGGACACGGCCACCACGGCTCTTCCTGAATGGTAGTTGGGTGTTGGGTGGCTCTTACCTGACTTCATAACAAGAAAGGAGACCCGATCACTGGTTCACGCCGTCCTCTGCCTGCGCCTGTCTAGTCTGGTTCCTACACTTTCCCCAGCTGCTCCTAACTTTGGAGGGTGGCGCCAGCACCCACATCCACGGACTGCAGTTTTGGTTCTTTTTTCTCCAGTTGCAAAGTCCGCTGCTTCAGGACTTCTAACCTGGTGAGCTCAACACCAAGAAGCTGGCTTTGAGATTTAAGACTAAGCAATGACCTCTTTGTTCAAGGAGGTCCCTGCCTCCCTGAAGCACTGAAGCCCATTGCTTTCACTGGTGGAGAACAAACACATCCAAACATGTGTGGAGCCCCTTTAAGTAACGGAAGCTATTTTTTCAACAGGTACCATTATCATCACTGAGACCACTTCCAACCTGTCCATGGGGGCTGTGTCCCTGTCCCCCAGGCTGCAGTCATGGACAGTCTGTCTCCCGTCTGTGTAGACAGCTCAGATTGGACCCATTCCCCTGGTTTTGAACTCAGCAGTTGGTAGAGTGTGAGTTCCAGTACTTAAACTTCTTGGCCCAGGGTAAGAAAGAACTCTGCAGCCCCATTGCCTCACCTCACGGTCAGGATGAAGAGATGGAACACGGGGATGTGATAAGGCATAAAAAGAAGAAACTTAAGTGAAGTCAGTTCGCAAGCCATAATGCCTTGTAGCAAAAGCAAGTATTATCTCACAAGAGAAGCTGAGAACGGCAATGCTCCTCTGTAGATACAAGACAGCGCTTGTCACTAGGAGCAGGAAAGACAAAGTTAGTGTCACAAGGGAGGCTTCTTCGAGTCATTGAAGAAAAATGGTGGAGCAGGAGGGGGCACCTGTGGAAGTGTTTTCAGATGCAGCTCACCCACCCAGACATCCACTGGCTTGCGGCATCCACTGGTAGGGCAGACAGCTGTTGGAAAACACAGGCGACGAATGGCAACTAGAGAGATTCAAATTGCAATGCTGAGGCGGTAGCAACTCTAAACCCCCGTGCTCTCAGGCCAGCCGCTTCTGTGGCCATGGGCAGAGATGTCTCCAGGCTGCCATCCAAATCCACTCGGCAGGGAAGAAAGGGAACTGATTTATATCTCCAGCAGGTATGCCAGAGAAAATTCAAATTGATCAAAAATTAAATATTCATAGGACATTATTCATTAAGATTCATCTCACCGAGTGGATGAAATGAAGCAAGGGAAGAAATTAGCTTGCTTGAGAGTGTCAAAGTGATTATGTGATTAAATTGCAATTTATAATTTCTCCTTCCAAAAAAAAAAAAAAGGCATTACTTCTTGATTCGTGTTTTCTCCTTTTTGCTGTGCCCCCTTGTTGTCCAAGCCCAAGCCAAGGACACCTGGGGTTAAACAGAGACGGGGAGACTCCAAACACAGTGGCTGGCCTTGGCACCTCCATCCATCTCCCATCTCCAATTCCACCTCGGAGCCCGGCTTTCAATGCCCGGTGCACAGCCTCCTTTAAAAGCAAGGGAGCCCCTCCTCAGAGGGGACCACACAAAGCCCCATGGTGCCACTCCATGAACGGTTCCCAGCCTCAAGTTCACTGCAAGAGAGGGGGCGAACCCTGGGGAAGGCCACCTCATTCAGCCAGTGGCACAGCCTCTCTACCACGCTCCCCCTTGCGGGCGACTCCCGAATGAGGCGGAGCCTGAAGAAGCAGGGATGTGTCCCAGCCTCTCCATGCAGAGCCAGGCAGCTCCAGCTTGCCCACGGGTGCTCTCCTGGGCCCCAAGGTCCCCGCAGAGGCAGGGGTGCCTGCCCTGGCTACAGAGAAGTGGGGGCCTCAAGTGGTGACAAGCTCCGGGCAAGGCAGCTCTCTCTGCCTTTGTCTGCTTTAGACAGGGCACTGCTGCGTGTGATTTCATTTCAACAAAACGTTTTGCTGCTAAAAATAAATTAAAAGCCACTAAATTAAATGACCTCTGTTCACAAGCCCCTCGCAGGCCGACAGCCTCCCTGGTTCGCTGAGCTCAGTGGTATGGAAGTGCACTGTTCCCTGAGCTGGACAAAGGCTCCTCTTAGTTCTCAGTTAGGAAGAAACACCGTCTGTCTGCCTGCCCGCCTGCCTGTCTGTCTGTCTGTCTGCCCGTGTCTCTGTCTAGCTAGGATGAGCCGTGCGGGTGCGGAGGCAGATGGAGAGCTGTATTTATCTTCCTCTGTCTCTCAGCCTTCTTCCAGCCCGGCCTCCCCCTGTCTCTATAACTCTTTGTGTGTGTCTCTCTTGCTCCTGCCCAATAAAGATTTAGAGGCAGGCTCCGGCAGCTGAGAAGGGCTATATTAATTCTAAGCTTGTTTCCAAACAGCACGGAGGCCTGCCCGGGTTAATTAGTTGTGCAGGCTTTCTTCAAGTGAGTGAGCCGGCAGGGTTTTTTACAGCTCTGTCACTGCATGTATTTGTTCGTTTCTGTTTTATCTGGAAATACATTTATCTGACAATAAATAACATCACCATGACTCGGGCCGGTAAAGGCAATGAACAGCGCCTCCGTGGACTTCCATCAGGGGTCTTCGTGGCCTGGGGCCCCTACTCCCAGAGGGGCTTCCAGGCCTTGGGAGAAATGGGGAAAGTGCTGGTGAAGCCGGTGGGAGGAGGCTAGAGGGGCGAGTACAGGGGCTTGGCGGGGCTAGAGGAAAGGAGGGGAGCTGCCCACTGGCGGATGGAGAGCATGTAAGGGGGGTGGGGGCAGCCTGGGGCTCAGGGAAGGTAGCTAAGGATGCACCTGCCACACGAAGAGGCGGAGACAGAAGTTGCGGTCCCAGGTCCCCATATCAGCCAATGTGAAGGCACTTCAAAAAGTTCATAGAAAAGTGGAATTAGAAAATATATTTACATTGCTGCAAAGAATTTTTGAAACATCTATTTTTTTATTAATACTGATTGGCCATTGAAGACCTGGTGCAAGCTCTGTGACCTCAGGCAGCTGGCTAACCTCAGGCCTCCTCACCCATTTCATGTACATGGGAACAGCACCTCTGTGCTCCGGGCAGTGGCCTGGAGACCACAGGAGGGGACGTACTAGACACACAGTGGAGATGCTCAGCTCTGGAGGGAACAGAGGTGCTCAGGTAGACTCGCCTGGGGCCTCCGGGCCTCCCTGGGAAAAATTCAACTAAAATGTTTGAGAAAGGATTTGATGAGAAAGCTTGGCCTTCTGTGCAAAAGGGTCTATGCCGATGACATCAGCATCACCCCAGGCTGGCCCACTTGCAACTTGACCACAGTCTCCCCAGGGCTTGCTCAGATCTTGCACAAGCCCCAGCTGGGCAGACTGTGTTAGTGCAGACAAAAAGTTACTCTGGTAAGCACTACGTCCTGATCTACAAATAAGTTGATCTACAAATAAGTGCTTATTCAGGACCCTGGAGGGGTGGGAGGGAAAGAGGTGAGGGGCAGAGGGACCATAGCAGAAAACCAAGTAGGCAAGACAGGACAGCGGCTGAGTGTACAGGCTGTGAGCTCTGACCACCTATTCATACCACTTCCTGGCTCCAGGCCTTGGGCAGCTATGGGACTTGTGTGTCTCAGTTTAGTGTTCCCATCTGTAAAGTGGGATAGAACTGGTCCCCGGCTCATGGGGTTGTGGTAGTGAGGCCTGAATGAGACGAATATGTGACACGAATAGGACAGAAGTGGATGGCATGCGGCAAGAATCCATAAACGTTGCAAACGCTACCCAGACACACATGAAGAGGGTCATTCGGATACACATGGACTTACTGCCAACGAGGGCCCGAGTGCTGAGGAACACAGTCAAAGAGAATTTCAGCTTTCTGAGACAACCTAGGAATCCTTCCAGGAGGAAGAGCAGAGTCCTTGTACATTGCGGGACGCCTAAACTGCAGCCCAGAGGAGCCAAGCAATCCCAGCGTGTTACCAGCAATCGGCCAGCAGGTGGCGCCAGCTCCCTCCACACCAGCACCTCCCAACGGACGGGCACCCAGCCCACCTGCAGTCAGGATGTAAACAGGACCGAGAGCCGAAGGGAAGCGGAAAAGCTCTCCTCCCCAGGTAGGACAGAGAAGGAGTCCAGACTCACCACAGCGCCTCGGAGGCGCAGGGGTCCTCGCCGTCCTGGGGGCCTGCAACCACAGCCCAGTCTGCTTCGTGTCCCCTCACTGCAGGAAAGAAAGGCAGTGTGGTTCGTGCACGCCCTCTGAGGCCATCTGAGGCCTGGCATTGCTCTTGAAAGTAGCCAGGTACCACTTCCGGCCTGGAGGTCGTGAAGGCCGAGGGCCCTGCCCTAGCCCGTCCAGCAATGGGAAACAGAGCCTACGGCAGCGTGACTAGAAAAGAGACGCAGGCCTCTCCCATCCCAGGGCCGCATGGCTCTCCAAAACTAGTGCGAGAGGCATCCGGCAGGTCTTGGCTCCGCATGGAGATGCACAGAGCCTGCTAAAGGCCAGAAGCCAACGACTTGCCCAGGTGGCTGCCGAATTAAGATGGGGGGGAAGAGGTGACCTCAGTGATGGAGGGAATCTGCAGCGTCAAAGCCAGACAGAGCCAGGGAGGGGTAGGGGATGCTTCTTTGTGCCCTACAGTCATAAAAAGGGGGCTCTTATTCGCCTTCGCCCCTCCCCGCTCTGCCCTAAGAGAGACGCTAAAGCCTGGGAGACCGGGGAGGGAGGACGTGCCAACAAACGCGCACCGGCGCTCCACGCGGCCAGCGCCCAGCTCCAGCGTGCGCTGCAGGAACGAGAGAAGAGCATCGAATCGGGTTTGAGATGAAAGTTTTAAAAATGTAAAAGGCTGAGTCTTAATTACCGGAATGAGGCTGTGGTAGTCATCGAAAATTCCGGAGCCAAACCAAGCCGTTGCTCCCCAGCAGGAAAGAGAGAGGGGGCCCCGCGGAGCCCAGGGCAGCTACTGGAAGAAACGCAAGTGGCTCGTGTTTATGCGACTTCCCGGTAAATCGGGCCAAATTACATGCCTGTGGGAAGTGACTGGGCCTTGGAGACCAGTGTCGCCGTGGTCAGGGCACCCAGTGGGGGGTAATGGCTGGCCCAGGGCACCTCCTGCCCCCTCCCGGGTAGGCGCAGTCTCTCCCGCCAGGCTGAGGGAAGCAGGGGGAGTCTGTCTCCGGGCTTTTAATGAGGCACTTAGAAAGAGGAACACGATGCTGCTGCTTACAGGAATCCTCCGTGGAATGCACTCCCAGGCAGCTGGAGGAGATGGTGCAATTTGCTTACTTCTAGAACATTCCAGGAAGCCTCCCTCCCCTCCCCATCCTAACACTGACCAGCAGTACCCCTCTGGGAAGGCCAGCAGCCGGGGAGGTCTTGGAGTCCCCCAGGCTGAGCAAGTCGGGAGAGGGACAAGCCAGGGGCCTTCTCAGTCCCTGGGGCACAGGGGCAGCACAGCCAGAGGCTAAGGCGGCGGCCCTGGGGCTCGGCTGCCTCCTGGAAGACGACAGGAAATGAAGTCTACACCGAGCAGGGCGGGACCGGCTAGCGGAACAGAATGTTCCCCTGGCTGATTTCCATCTGGGGGAGAGGGAAACGCGCACCCTCGCCAGATGCCTGTGCTGCGCCCCGCACTCTGCTCACCCGCTTCTGCCCCAAGCCTCCCACAGCCCGCCAAGGGGACATTTTCTCCGCGTCAACCAGGAGGAAACCAGGCAGCGCGGTTGCCTTAAGGCCGCGCGTGTCCCTGGAACTCTAGCCTGCAGTCCTGGTGCACGGCAGGCAGAGGCAGAGACCACGCCCAGAGACAGAGACCACGCCCCTTCTCCAGAGCACCTGCTGCCTCGCTGCCCAGGGTTAGGTTTAGCTGCCCCCGCAGGGAGTTCCTTCAGCTCTCCCGCCTCCCCAGGCTTTGAGCCCTGGTCTTCTTGGTCTTCTTGGGGACAGTTCCCAGCCAGGGCTGAGCGAGCCTCGCCCTTTGCCACTCACATGGAGCCCTGTTTGCCCCAAGCTGCCTGTTGGCTGGCAGGGGCTCCGCCGCGGGTCTGAGCGCTCCCCTGGGCCGACCGACCTGCTTCCTCCTCCTCCTCCCTCAGGTGTCACTCTCCTTGCACCCCTCCCTCGGGCTTACCCCCAGCAGTCCCATCCCTTCGGTCTGACACAGCCTCCCCCTCCTCACCCGTCCTGGAGGGCAATCCAGGGATTGAACTCCTACTAGGAGCTGTGGCTTTACCCCATGCAAAACTACTGTAAGTTTTAAGGTTCGAGCCGTTCCCAAAGAGCTAGCTCTCCTTGAAAACTGGGTGCTTCGTGCTCAGAGGCTGTGGCTAATATTCAACCTTATTTTGAATTCTAAAATCCAAGCAAAGAGTCTCCCCTACCTTCTCCTGGCCCCCCATATCAATTCCACCCCTGAAATTTCACAACATGGAGGCAAGCGTTTGGCACAGCGCGTAAGGTGCCTCTTGGGATGCCTGAATCCCATATTGGAACGCCCGGTTTGAGTCCTAGCCCCTCTGCTTCCAATCCAGCTTCCTTGGAGGCAGCAGATGATGGTTCAAGTCCCTGGGTCCCTGCCACCCACATAGGAGACCCAGATGGAGTTTGAGGCTCCTGCTTCAGCTTGGCTCAGCCCTGGCTTTTGTGGTCATTTGGAGAGTGAACCAGCAGATGGAAGATCTCTCTCTCTCTCTCTCTCACACACACACACACACATACACACACACAGACACATACACATACACATACACACACACACACAGGCTGAATATGTATCACTGTCTTTCAAATGTAGTGAAAACAAAAAATTAAAATCTTTTAAAAAACTTTTTAATTGCCATAACATGGAATTGAGATGTGCCGCTTATTATTTATTGTGCTTGATAGGAAAGCTTCATGATCTTTGTGCATAATGTAGAAAGCAGATGATTATAACAAAGAAGTGTATAATTTGGACTTCATTAAAATAAAAAACTTCTGTGCTTCAAAAGACATGAAGAAAGTGAAAAGAACCTATGGGATGAGAAAGATTTGTAAACCTTTTTTTAAGATTTCTTATTTTTAAAGATTTATTTATTTATTTGAAAGAGTTACACAGAGAGAAAAGGAGAGGCAGAGAGAGAGAGAATCTTTCATCTGCTGGTTCACTCCCCTGTTGGCCGCAATGGCCGGAGCTGTGCCGAACTGAAGCTAGGAACTAGGAGCTTCTTCCAGGTCTCCCACATGGGTGCAAGGGCCCAAGAACTTGGGCCAGCTCCTACTGCTTTCCCAGGCCACAGCAGAGAGCTGGATTGGAAGAGAAGCAGCCAGGACTCAAACCAGCGCCCATTGGGATGCCGGCACTGCAGGAAGCGGCTTTACCCACTATGCCACAGAACCAGCCCCTGTAAACCATATTTCTGATGAGGCTATTTTTTTAAGATTTATTTATTTATTTGAAAGTCAGAGTTACACACATAGAGAGAGAGAGAGAGGAGAGGCAGAGAGAGAGAGAGGTCTTCCATCCACTGGTTCACTCCCCAATTGGCCGCAACAGCCGAAACTGCGCCAATCCGAAGCCAGCAGCCAGGAGCTTCCTCTGGGTCTCCCACGCAGGTGCAGGGGCCCAAGGACTTGGGCCATCTTCCACTGCTTTCCCAGGCCATAGCAAAGAGCTGAATCAGAAATGGAGCAGCCAGGACTTGAACCGGCGTCCATATGGGATGCCAGCACTTCAGGCCAGGGCGCCAACCTGCTGCACCACAGCGCCGGCCCCTCTGATGAGACTAGTATCCATAATATGCAAACTCTTACAACTGAACAACAATAGGACACCCTAGTTAAAAACTGGGCAACGAATTTGAACAGACATTTTTTCAGAGAAAATATGCAAGTGGCAATATTTACATGAAAAGATGTTCAACATCCGGAGTCATTAGGGAAAGACAGATCAATGCCACAATGACATACTGCTTCACACCCACCAGGATGGCTACCAAGCAAAAGGAACTAAGAGGTGTTGGAGAGAATGTGGAAAAACTGGTACTCACACACAGTGCTGGTAAGGTTGGAAAACAGCGCAGACACTTTGGGAAATAGTCTGGCGGTGTATCAGAAAGTTCAATATAGAGTTACCATGACCCATCAGTTAAACTCCTCGGTGTATAAAAGAACTGAAAACGTGTCCAAATAAAAGTTCACACACAGTGGCGGGTGCTGTGGCGCAGCCCCCAGACTATATCAAAGTGCTGGTTCAAGTCCCGGCTGTTCCACTTCCAATCCAGCCTCTGCTCGTGTACCTGGGGAGCAGCAGACGAGAGCTCAAGCACCTGAGTCCCTGCAGATCATGTGGGAGACCAGATGGAGGTCCCAGCTCCTGCCTTCTGCCTGGCCCAGTCCTAGCTGTTGGAGGCATTTGAGGATTGAACCAGCAGACGGAAGATCTCTCACTCTGTCTCTGACTCTCTCAGTTACTCTATCTGTGAAATAAATAAATCTTAAAAAAAAATCATACACAAATGCTCATAAAAACATTACGGTAGGAAAAAAAAAAAGTTGAAAAAAACAGACAAATGACCATCAGTTGATGAATGGATAAACCAAATGTGGTGTATCTACACACTGAATATTATTCAGCCATCAACAGGAGTGAAGTGTTTTCATATGCTACAACACAGATGGACCTTGAAAACAGCGTGCTACGTGGAGAAGCCAGGCCCAGAGGCTGCTGTGTGGTTCCCTTATTCAAATGTCCGGAAGAGTCAAATCCGGAGAGACAGAAAGTGGATTAGTGGTTGCCAGGGGCAGGAGGTAGGAGAAATGGGCAGTGACTGCTTAATGGGTGTGGGGATTTTTTTTTTTTTTAAGGTGATGAAAATGTTCTGGAATTAGATAATGGTGATGGTTTCGCAACTTTCTGAATACAGTAAAAGCCACTGAAACGTGCACTCTTAAAGGGTAAATTTTATGGCATGTGAATTACATCTCAATAAAACATTTTTAAGCCAATGAGTTGAATACTTTATGTTTCTCTGAGGAGACCAGGCCACTTCAGTTAAGGTGGCTTCTCATGCGACCTTTGACTGGTGTGCTCCCAGGTCCACCCTGCTTGGTGGAAGAGGCTCGGATTTCAGACCCGGGCTAGATTGACCAAAGTCATTAAGGCTTCAGCTTAGGACAGAGAAGAAGACTAGACAGAACCCAGTGAAAAGCCAGACGTGGCAGTGAGCGTGGCTGGGAGGACAGATCCATCAGTCAGAGAGCAGAGTCTAGCCAGTCCTTCAGTGACATCAGAATCTAGAGAACAATCCAGGAGAAGACCACCCCCTGGTGTTATGGGATGACCCCATCCCCACCCTCAGGCAGTGCGGGGTCCACGTTGTGAATCTGGACCCAGCCACAAATCCCCAGAACGCACCCAGGGCTGGGAAGGTTGAAATCCTCGTGCGTCACGGATACGGCTCATCAGGCTATGATTATGGCATGGTCACGCATCTTCTTTTTAAAAAAGAATTAATGACTCAAGTACATAGGGACAAATGGTTTTTGACAAAAATGTGAGGGCAACTCAGTAAAGATAGAATTTTTCATAAATCACACTGAAATAATTGGATATCCGTATATAAAAACAGACCCCTGGGAATGGCTGAAAATCACAAAGCTTGGCGGTAGAAGCGATTGCAAGGGTGTGGAAAGACTGGGACTTGTACAACCACCTGGAAAAACAGCACGGCACTTTCTCCAAAAGTTCAATATGTTTCTACACCTAAGCCCAAAAAAGCCTCGTATGACAATACTTGCAGAAATTTCATTTGTTTTTAACGTTTATTTTTTTAATTATTTGAAAGGCAAAGCAGCAGAGAGAGAAAGACACACAGACAAACAAAGAGAGATGTCCTATATGCTGGTTCACTTGCCAAATGCCCACAACAGCCAGGGCTGGGCAAGCCGAAGCCAGGAGCCAGGCGCTCCATCCGGATCCCCCTTACGGGGGATAGGAACTCGGTGCTTGAAGCATCATCTGCTGCCTCCCCTGTGCGTTAGGAAACAGAGGCCGAGGTGGGTCTCCCTCCCTGGCACTGCAAAATAGAATGCGGGGGTCCCAAGCACAGCTTAACCTGTTGCACCACAACACCAAAAACTAGAAACAACCCATATGCCCATCAGCAAAAAAAAAAAAAAAAAATGGAGAAGCACAGTGTGCTACACTCATACAACGGACTATTACTGAGCAATAAAAAGGAGTGAACTCTCAGTACAACAACACACGTGAATCTCAAAATCATTACACTGAGTGAAAGAAGCTTGACAAAAATTAGTGCCTACTGGATGATTCCATGTATGTGACATGTTAGGAAATGCAAACGAATCTGTAGTGACAAAATTCACGTCCGTGGTTCCTGAGGCTTGTGGGGAGGAACAGAGAAGAGCAGGATCGATTTGGAAAGAAAGGGGGCAGCGGGAAACCCCAGGGGGTGGGGGCTATGTTCCTGAGTTTGATGATGGTTTGGCAGTATGCTTGAAAGCTGCAAAATTATGAACTTTACATTGTGTGCAGTTCATCGCATGTCAATTACACCTCAATAAAACTGATGCAAGAGACAGAAGAGAGAGAGTGGAAGAGAGAGACTGAGAAAAGAGGAGTGAAGATATCCAGCAACATGGGAGAAGGTGTGACAGGAGCTACAGCTCAGAGCCCCACAAGCCCACGATTCAGTGTTTGGTGATGGGATGATCCCAGAAGGCCAAGGGGCTGCCCCCGCCCCAGACTCCTGACAGGAACTGCCCCTGCCCTCGCCTAACTCTTTCAAGCCGGCTCAGTCTTGGCCCGCTCTCTGGGCCTTTGCTTGTCCTCTGCAGGTTGAGTCAGTTTTGTGCTAACACCCGCATCCAGTTGTACATACCCTCGGCGTTCTGCGATATGATTTCTGGTTTCAACTGCTCCCCCAGAGACCCTGCAGTCCTACAACTTGTACTGATTTGTCATCTGTCGCAGGCACAATGTGACTGCAGCCAGCTCCAAGGGCCTGGCTGAGCAGGGGTAGCCAAGACAGGGAGTGAGCTCAGTCCTCGCCCACCCTCAGTTGTCCTCTACCAGGTCCAGTGACTACTTTTCCTGTCTGAGCAATGGGCTGCCCACAAGGGAGCTCTCAGCTGGTGGTGGAAACGATGAATGAGTGAAGCCGACTGAGGAAGGTAGTGCCCTCAGCCAGAAAGGAGCTTTATAAATTACTTTTTTTTAAATTTTTAAATTTTTTAAAATTTATTTGACAGGTAGAGTTACAGACAGTGAGAGAGAGAGAGACAGAGAGAAAGGTCTTCCTTCCGCTGGTTCACCCCCCAAATGGCCGCTACGGCTGGTGCTGCGCCGATCCAAAGCCAGGAGCCAGGTGCTTCCTCCTGGTCTCCCATGCGGGTGCAGGGCCCAAGCACTTGGGCCATCCTCCACTGCCTTCCCGGGCCACAACAGAGAGCTGGACTGGAAGAGGGGCAACCGGGACAGAATCTGGCGCCCATATGGGATGCCAGTGCCGCAGGTGGAGGATTAACCAAGTGAGCCATGGCACCAGCCCCTATAAATTACTTCAATCTTTTATTTAGACTCTGAAAGCATCACTTAAAAATCTCTGTTGTACTTTACAGCATTTGGGGGGGAGAAGTTACATACTACAGTGGCATTCAGAGGATTGGAAACTGGGAACAGCCCTGGGCCTCGGCCCACAGTCCCGTGAGACACTCCCAGCAGCTCTAGTGAGTGCCCATCACATTGCATTGTAATTACACATTTAGCTCCACCCCCCCCCCTTGAGTCCAAGGAGCAGAATCTTCTAGAAACTACAGCTAGAGTATCTGGGCTCAGGTGCACCTGAGCAGGTGCCCTCACCTCTGTGTGCCTCAATTTCCTCATCATTCGAATGGTAAATAGAGTAGGGCCAACCCGATCGAGCTAACTGCAAGGATTAAGTATAGCAATACATAAGAAGCACTTAAATCAGTGTCTGGCCCACCAAAACCGATTCATAAATGCTAGTAATTTGTTTAAGGCAGAGTCCATGTCTTAGGGCTCTTTTCAAAAAATTCTAGTATCTTAGTAGCTCACGCAGTGCTTGGTACATGGTGCGAGCTCAAAGAGTTGAAAGAATGAGCATAGGTCAGCACCGTGGCTCAGTAGGCTAATCCTCCGCCTTGCAGTGCCGGCACACTGGGTTCTAGTCCCGGCTGGGGCACCGGATTCTGTCCCGGTTGCCCCTCTTCCAGGCCAGCCCTCTGCTGTGGCCAGGGAGTGCAGTGGAGGATGGCCCAAGTGCTTGGGCCCTGCACCCGCATGGGAGACCAGGAGAAGCACCTGGCTCCTACCTTCGGATCAGCACGATGCAACGGCCACAGTGCGCCAGCCGTGGCAGCCATTGGAGGGTGAACCAACGGCAAAGGAAGACCTTTCTCTCTGTCTCTCTCTCACTGTCCACTCTGCCTGTCAAAAATAAAAAATAAAATAAAATAAAAAAAGAAAGAATGAGCAAATGAATCAGTGAGTAAACGGAGCCTGTGCTGTGGTATAGCAGGCAAAACCACTGCCTAAGATGCCAGCATCCCCTATGGGCGCCGGTTCAAGACCCAGCTGCTCCACTTCCAATCCAGCTCCCTGCTAATGTGCCTGGGAAGGCAGCAGAGGATGGTCCAAGTGCTTGGGCCCCTGCACCCATGTGAGAGACCCGGAAGACGCTCCTGGCTCCTGGCTTTGGCCTGGCCCAGCCCCAGCCGTTGTAGCCATTTCAGGAGTAAACCAGTAGATGGAAAACCTCTCTCTCTCTGTCCCTCTGTCTCTCCCCCCACCCCCTTTCTACCTCCCTTTCTGTGTTACTCTTACTTTCAAATAAGTAAATAAATCTTAAAAAAAAAAATCAGGGCCAGCGCTATGGTACAGCAGATAAAGCTGCAGCCTGTGGCACCACCATACTGGATGCTGGTTTGAGTCCTGGCTGCTCCACTTCTAATCCTGCTCCCTGGGAAGGCAGCAGAGGATGGTCCAAGTCCTTGGGTCCCTGCACCCACGTGGGAGACCTGGAGGAAGCTTCTGGCTCCTGGCTTCAGATGGACTCAGCTCTGGCTGTTGTGGTCATTTGGGAGTGAACAAGCAGATGGAAGATCTCTCTCTCTCTCTCTCTAACACTGCCTTTCAAATAAATAAAATAAATGTTTTTAAAAAGGCTCATTGGCTCATCCACATTGTGGCAAGTGTCCGAGTTTCCTTATTAAGAAAAAAAATTCAGGGAGCCAGTGCTGTGGCACTGCTGCCTGCAGTGCCAGCATCCCATTCGGGCTCCAGTTTGAGTCCAGCTCTCTGCTATGGCCTGGAAGAACAACAGAAGATGGTTCAAGTCCTTGGGCTTCTGCACCCCCATGGGAGACCTGGAAGATCCTGGCTCCTGGTTTCAGACTGGCGCAGCTCCAGGCATTGCAGCCAATTGGGGAGTGAAGCAACAGATGGAAGATCTCTCTCTCTCTCTGTATAACTCTTTAAAAGAAATAAATAAATCTTTTTTTAAAAAAATCAGTAAGTAAATGAGCCACCTTGATGCTAAAATCAAAATGCTTCATTTCTTGTATAATGGGGGCATTTGGGCTTGCTGGTCTCATGTCCAGCACCACTAAGGTGGTCCAGCGTTTCCATGGCTATCACCTCCACCACCACCATCACTTTGCAACTATTGAAAATCACTGTGCTGCCAATGGTGGGGAACCAGGGATGGCCAAGGTCTGACCTCTGTTCCCATCTGACCCCCACCCCCAGAGTCTGTCCTCAACCTAGCACCCACGGGGATCCTGCTGAAGCCTACCCGGGGCCATGTCCCCCACACCTCCGATGGCGTCAGCTTACTTGGAACAGACCCCACAGTTCTCACAGTGGTTCAGAAGGTTATGACCCTACCAGTGCCGCCTCGCCCACCTCGGCTCCAGGGACACTTGCCTTCTTGCACTTCCTCAAAATGTTCCGAGACTCCTGCTTGGGATCTTTGCACTTGCTGTTCCGTCTGCCTGGAATGCTTTTCCCCAGGAATGCTGAGTTCCCTCTGAGGGTTTGCTTAGGTCTCTGCCCAGTGCCGCCTCTGCAGGCAGGCCTTCTCTGTCCACTTTTCTGAAGCCCCATGAGAATGGGGACGTCTCTGTCATGCATTGCTCTATCCCAAACACCTGGTCCAGTGCCTGGTGCCGAGTGCTCATTAAATACTTACTGGCGGATTAGGTGACTAAAACACCAGGGATCCATCTGCTGACTGCTGCTCCCGCCCCAGGGCTGGGTGCACCCCAGGTGGAGGCCTCTCCCCAGCAGTGAACCATCCAAAGATGGTCCCTGCAACCCCAGAAGAACAGGGGAGATGAAGGCGTATTCTTGGAACAAAAAGGCCCTGTGGAGTACAGAACACTCCGGGAAACCTGGGGATCCTGGAATGACAGAACGAATTCTACCTGCCCGTGAGTTGAAGGAACGGCACAGCGCATAAAGTGTCCAAGGAACAGCACTGTGACTGCCACGACTCTGCGAAACAAGCAATGTAGCGCAGGGCCAGATAGAGCGGGAAAAGAGTCTGAGACAGCCCCTGGAAAGAAGAGTCAGGGGACGTGGAAGTTACGCGCTATAGTGGGAGGACCTGGACCCTGGGCTCCAACCCCACTGTCACACCTCCTGGTCCGCACAGCCCTCGGCTCTTGCTCACCTCTCTGCTCCCGGGCTTCCATCTCCAGTTCGAGTTGTAATTGCACCTGTGCTAGCGGGCAGTGGGGTGGCTTCCACTAAGTAACGTGTGAGATGTGCTTGGGAGGAGAGTAGCTTAGCACCATTATTTGTACGGCCTGTTTCCTGGGCACTAATAGCCTGCCTGGAAGGTTCCATGGGAAACTGGCATTTTTACCCCGCCCCCCCCCACCGCCCCCCAGCACCATTTTCACAAAATCTGCAGTCAGAGGGGCCGGGTCTTCTGCAGACAGGAAATCTTCACCCACTCCTCGCCTAGAGTTCATCTTCCCTCTTCCGGGAGAGATTAAGGAACATATTTTTGCTCTTAACTACCGATTAATCATTAATAATAAAGCCTTTACACTTTTAGAGTCTCCACTCCACGAGGGCCTTCACGTGTATTTCAGAACCAAAGCTTGAGGAAGTGGCGGAGCGGGCACCACGGGCCGTCTCAGAGGCCCGGCCAGCGCCCATGCGCACCGGCTACCACGCGGCACTCTGGGACCCAGAGCCCCGGAGGCCCTGGCATCTGCATGGGTGGCATTCGCCATCAGCAAGACCTTAGGACTCGGAGCCCGAGGGCAAAGAGGGGAAAGAGGCAAGGGTCACCCGTCTCCTGTTGTTTCCTGTCCCTGCCACAGGCGCCAGGCACCCGAGTGATGGCGGAGGAATGAGGGGTGGCCGAAGTCCGTCTCCCAAGCTGGCTCTGACTATGGCAGAGACAAGGCCACCGGAATCAGAGGGTGACAGCGGCACAGCGTCCCAGGCTTCGCGTTCAGCGCAAGATTGCCAGCCTTCTGCAACTCCACACCCCCACCTGCTGGAGGCCGCCTTGCACACAGCCTGGCCATCCCTCGCCTGCCCCCACTGCTTCTCCAGGAGACCCCAGGCCGCCCCGCTGCACCACAGGACAGCCTGGCAGCCTCAAACCGGAACTGGGAACAACGCGTCTTTCTCAGTCTCGCCATAAATCTTAATCTACAATATTGCGTGCACGCCTGGCATGAACTTCAGCTTCTCCCACGTTGTAACCAGAAGGAGGTTCAGGCCTGGTTTTCTCTGCCCTCCTGGGGGGTGAAAGGCAATAGAAGGATAAGATTCCCACTCCACCAGGTGGAAAGAATTGGGGCTTTGGAGAGGAAGTTGCTAGACATTTCAGAACTAGGGGGATAAAGCACCAGCCTTCTCGCTAAACAGGAAGAAATGAAGTTCCAAAGAGTCAAAGGGAGCAGCCACAGGGAACAGACTTTAGCCAGTTGTTCATTCAGATACATTAAGTGAACACCTACTATGTGTCTGCTACTGTGACACATGAATGAGAATTCAGTCTCTGAACTTGAAGTCCTTTGACTAGGTCTCTCTCCACCTTTCTTTTCTTTTTTTTAAAGATTTATTTATTTATTTGAAAGTCAGGGTTACACACACACACACACACACACACACAGAGAGAGAGAGAGAGAGAGAGAGAGAAAGTGAAAGAGAGGTCTTCCATCTGCTGGTTCACTCCCCAATTGGCCACAACGGCCAGAGCTGCACTGATCTGAAGCCAGGAGCCAGGAGCTTCTTCCGGGTCTCCCACATGGGTGCAGGGCCCCAAGCACTTGGGCCACCTTCTAATGCTTTCCAAGGCCACAGCAGAAAGCTGGATTAGAAGTGGAGAAGCCGGGTCTCGAACCGGTGCCCATATGGGATGCTGGTGCTTCAGGCCAGGGCGTTAACCCACTGCGCCATAGCACTGGCCCTCTCTCCACCTTTCTGTCAGTTTTCCCTCTGAGTATTTTCCCCTGTGCCCTGGGCAACCTCATTCTACTGGAACACCCTCCAAGAACCTCTCCTGTGTCCTCCTCCTCTCCATGGCGGAATCCCAGCCTCAGCCCACGGAGACCAGCTCCCCTCAGCCTACCTCCCCCTTAGGTATTGCCGCTTAGAAAGTAAAGCCGCTGACTGTGAGGACATCCTGGCTACCCCACACCAGGTCCAGCTCCCTGCACGGGGAGGCTGCTCTTGCTCCCACACGACTTCTGTTTTCCAGCCCAGAAGGGTGCCTTGGGGCCAGCAGTCTCCCCGCTTCTCCCCTCCACGGCAGTTGACCCTCTCACTTCTCCAGCCTGGTTTAAAGCCCTCCTCATCTTGATGGGTCATTGCCCTCTGTCTCTCCTTACCGCTGTCTTTGAACCTGCCCCTGCCCCTGCCCCTGACCCCTGAGGACGCTCTCCCTGCGCCTCCGCACATTCACTCCCACGGTGACCCAGAGGCAGATTGCTGGAGCCCATCCAGCTGAGACCCTGACCTCCTCCCAGCTGTCTGGCCACTCCCAGTCACCTCTGCCCTCCTTTCAGCCCTAAGGCCACCACTGGACTGTTACCAGCACACTGCCCCCACTCTGGCCCCCTCCTCCCACTTCACCTCCTGACCTCCCTGCATTCCCAGGCTCCGACCCCTCCTGGCCTCTCACTTTCTCTCCCCTCCCCCTTCAGCCAATCTTAGTCTTTCACACCAAGCCCCGGGTCAATAACCTGAATGGCTCCCTCCTAGTCCCTTCAGTGTCCATGCTCCCTTTTTGTTTCACTTGCAACTCATGGAAAGCCCTGGCCCCCAGTCAGTTCTACAGCTCCTTCCCTGCTCCTAAGCCTGGACTTCTGAGTGCTGCTGAAAAGACTGGAAACTCTGGCACACGTCAGACAAGCCTGCCTCATCCTCCCCAAGCCCTCAGCAAATAGTCCGCCCTCCCCCTCCACTGTGAAAAGCAAAGCCAAGGGGCCGGCGCCATGGCTCACTTGGTTAATCCTCCACCTGCAGCGCCGGCATCCCATATGGGTGCCAGTTCTAGTCCCGGTTGCTCCTCTTCCAGTCCAGCTCTCTGCTGTGGCCCGGGAGGGCAGTGGAGGATGGCCCAGGTGCTTGGGCCCTGCACCTGCATGGGAGACCAGGAGGAAGAACCTGGCTCCTGGCTTCGGATCGGTGTAGCTCCGGCTGTAGCAGCCATTTGGGGGGTGAACCAGCGGAAGGAAGACCTTTCTCTCTGTCTCTCTCTCTCACTGTCTAACTCTTTCTGTAAAAAAAAAAAAAAAAAAGAAAGAAAGAAAAGCCAAGAACTCCCTCAATGCCCCATCCCCTTCTTTCTTAAATACACTTGCATTGCCCACCGCACAGGCTTTCCTCAGGGCCCCAGACTCAAAATATGTCCCTCTCCCTGCTCAGAGCCAGCCTTTCCACCTGCCTAAGTCCTTTGCTTCCATGTCCTCCATGTCTCTGAAATTTCTGTTCCTTTCTTAATTTTTCACGTGTGTATATGAAGCAGAGAGACAGAAAAAGAGAAAGAAAAATAGAGAGAGCTCCCATCTGCTAGTTCACTCTCCAAAAGCCTGCAACAGCCAGGACTGGGCCAAGGCCAATGCTGGGGGCTGGGCACTCACTCCAGGTCTCCCCCGTGGGTGGCAGGAGCCCAGTCACTTAAGCCACCACTGCTGCCTCTGAGAGTCTGCATTAGCAGGAAACAGGAGTCAGGAGACAAATCAGGGAACCTAACCCAGATACTTCTCTGTGGGAGGCAGGCATCTTAGCCAGCATCCTTTCTTTATTTTGAAGATGTTTTTATTTGAAAGGCAGAGATTTACAAACAGAAGAAGGAGAAGGAGAAAAAGAAGGAGAAGAAGGAAAAAAAAAGAGAGAGAGAGAGAGATGGATCTTCCATCTATTGGTTCACTCCCCAAATGGCCACAATTGCCTGGACTGGGCTTGGCCAAAGCCAGGAGCCAGAAGCTTCTTCCAGGTCTCCCACATGGGTGGCAGGGGAACAAGCACTTGGGCCAATTTCTGCTTCCTTTGACCATTAGCAGGGAGCTGGATCAAAAGTGGAGCAGCCAGGACTTGAACCAGGGCTCATATGGGTTTTCAGCTCCTTTAACCAGCATCTTAACCACTATGTCACATGCCCACCCTATTACTATCAATCAAAGTCCACCCAGAAGAAAGCAACCATACCCTAATTTGCATAGGGAAATTGTAACATGGACAATTGTTAACTTTAACAGGGGATACCTTCTAATACAAAACAAAGAACTCTGGTGGCTGGTATTGCAGTGTAGCGGGTAAAGCCATTGACTGCAACATCCCGGCTGCTCCAATTCGGGTCCAGCTCCCTGCTAATGCACCTGGGAAAGCAGTGGAAGACGGCCCAAGCGTTTGGTCCCCTGCCACTCACATGGGAGATCCAGAAGAAGCTCCTAGCTCCTGGCTTCAGATCTGCTCAGTTCCAGCTGATGTGATCATTTGGGGAATGAACCAGCGGATGGAAGATCTCACTTTCTTTGTCTCTCCTCTCTCAGTAACTCTTTCAAATAAATAAGTAAATCTTAGGAAAGAAGGAAGAAAGAAAGGAAAGAAGGGAGGGAGGGAGGGAGGGAGGGAAGGAAGGAAGGAAGGAAGGAAGGAAGGAAGGAAGGAAGGAAGAAAGACAGACAGACACATCCTGAGGGGGTGTCTCTTGCCTGTAAGGTTGTTCATTAGGGAGCCACGCTCTGGGGAGGTGGAGAAAGCTGCCCACAGGGAGGGCCAAGCGCTGCTGGTCACTCTGTGTGTGGCTGGTCACCAGCTTGGACTGGCCTCATTGGTGCTCAGCCATAGGAGTCTAAGAGGAGCACGCTGGAAATAGGAGGAAGACCCTCTTCAGTTCCCCCTACTGACAAAGGTGAACAGGGTGCTGACTGTCAAAGAAATGTTTACAGGGTTCAACTCCACCACCACAGAGCAAGCGGTGCATAGTACATTTGGAGATAAGAGGCAATAAATTGATAAATAACATAATTGCTATCTTCTTTTTCTCTTTCTTTGCCAACTTCTCTCATTCAGCCTATGAACACATGGAATCATTACTAAACACAGACACACACATGCACACACATGCAGACACACACACACGCGGGTGCGCACACATACACACACGTCCAGGCCCTACACTGCCCCCCAGCTATGCAGCATCTTTCTCCTTCCCTTTTTAAGCCACGCCACTGGAAAATGCAGTCCTCACTCCTTGTTTGCTCTCCTCCACTTCCCTGTCATCCCTCTTCCTGCTTCAGTCCCGCTCCAGCCACCACTGCCCACGGAAATCGCTGTCATCAAACCCGTCAGTGAAATGCCAAGGATCGTTTTTATCATTAGCCTGCTTCATTTGGAACCTAAGGAGCATTTTACACAGAGAACAACCACGCGCTCTTTCCTCGGATGGGCGGCATTGCTTGTGGTAGATCGTACCCTCGGCTCAGAATTCCCTTTCCCTTCCGGTGCTGCCGTGGTTCACTGTGGATAGGGTTTACTTCCCTGTCCCTACCGACTGTGGGCCCCGCTCTGGGACTTGCAGTGACCAGCAAAACGGTACACTGAAGTAACAACAGAATCAATTCCAGAAGGAGGCTGCAAGAGACACGGTGAGTTTGTTTGCACAGCCCCCCAGCCATGTGAAGCAAATGCTACAGGTACTAGCTTCTCCATCAGCAGAGTCCCAGAGAAAGAGACACAATCACACTTGAACGTGACCCACAGGCTAGAGCCGAGCTGCCAGAGCCAACCCACAAAGCCATAAATGTGAAATAAACGTTTGCTGCTGTAAGTCATTGAGCTTGCAGGATTTGGCAGTGAGACAAAAGCCAGCTGAGCTCAAGCTAAATAAATTAACAACCAAAGAAGCACCAATTGTTGGGATCAGAACAAGAGAGGGAACCACTGCAGATTCTATAGATTTTTAACAGATATGAAGTGTATAAATTCCTTGAAAGATGAGTTAGCAAAGCTGACATAAGAGAAATAGAAAAATCTGGATAGCCCTTTAGCTACGAAAGAAATTGAAATTTTTAACTCAGAAAGGTTCCACAAGGAAAATTCCAGGCCAAGTTGCTTCCCCGATGAACTCCACCTATCACGGAAGGAGCCAGTGCTCCAGTTCGTTTAGAAAATAGAGAAAGAAGGAATTCTTCCCAGCTTGTCTTGTTACCAGTAGTACCTTACTATCAACACCTGCCAGGACCCTACAAGACAATAAGACAGGGCCAATACCTCTCACAAAGCTTGCCGGAGAATCCCTAATAAAATATGAGTGACTGTAGTAATCAGCACATAAAAAGGATCATAGTCAAGTGAAGCATGAGACTGCTCCCATGATCATCAATCACTGGAATTTACCACCCTGAAGAAAAGGCAGGAGAAAAATCATATGATCATCTCAAGAGGGGCAGAGAAAGCATGCAATCAAACTCAACGCCCGTTATGGTAAGGCTGCCAACAAAGGAGAATAAGCAAGAACATCTGGATCCTAAGCAAGACATCTGCCCAAGCCTCGTGCTCACACCCATCGTGTTCAGCGGCCAAAGGCCAAATGCTTTCCCTCCAAGATGAAGAAGAAGGCCAGACGGTCTCTTTTCACGTCTCTCCAGCATTGTGTAGAGGTTCTAGCAAGGCATGGGGTTGGGGAGGAGGAAGGGAGATTATACATTGCAAAGGAAGAGGGAAAATTGTGCTTTCCAGATAATGTTATTGAGCTAATAGAAACACCAAAGGAATCTACCACAAAAATATGAAAACTAGTAAGTGAATTTAGAAAGGTTGCAGGAATCACACTGAATATAGAAAAAAAAAATCAGTGTTTTAGGGCAGTTGCTGTGGTGTAGCAGGTAAAGCCGCCACCTACAGTGCCAGCATCTGATATAGGTGCCAGTTCGAGTCCAGGCTGTTCCACTTCCGATCCAGCTCTCTGCTATGGCCTGGGAAAGCAGTAGAAGATGGCCCAAGTCCTTGGGCCCCTGCACCCTCATGGAAGACCCAGAGGAAGCTCCAGGCTCCTGGCTCCTGGCTCCTGGCTCCTGGCTCCTGGCTCCTGGCTCCTGGCTTTGGATCAGCGCAGCTCTGGCCGATGCGACCATCTGCAGCAGATAGAAGACTCTCTCTCTCTCTCTCTCTCTCTCTCTCTTTATCTCTGACTCTGCCTCTCTGCAATTCTGCCTTTCAAATAAATACATCTTTAAAATAAATTTAAAAATTAAAAATAAGTAATAAAGTTAAGTCCTATTTTGAAAAAGGAAATATAACATGAGTTTAAAAATAAAAGAATACTTAAATTTAGAGATAATTCTGTTTCTAAATTGGAATACACAATACTTCTAAAGTGTCAACACTTCCCAAAATGACTGATAGATTCAACATAATTCCAAAAAGAAAAAAGAAAACACCAGCAAGCTTTGCTTCACTTTTAAAATTTATATGGAAGTTCAAAGGACCTAAAATAGATGAAACACTTTTTAAAATAGAGTGACACAGTTGGCGCCTTTCTATAACTTGACTTCAAGGCTTATTAAGAGTAGAATAATCAATACAATATGATATCAGGGTAAGAATAGTCAAATATAAAGAACAAAATGGATCGGAAATGGACCCAAGGAACAACCAATAGGCATGTGACAGGCGCTCATCATTAGTCATCAGGTGAACGCAAATTACAGCCAAAGTAAGGTCCCACTACACACCTACTAGAATGGTTTTACATTTCAAATAATGATAACGGAAGTTCAGTGAGAAATAGAACATCCGGGAATCTCACATATTACTGATAAGAGTGTAAAACAACACAACCACATTAGAAAACTGGCAATTTCTTGTAACGTGAAATATACATTTAATATGTGAGCAAGCAATGTCACTCCTAGGTATTCAATGAATAGGAAAGACACACCTATATATGAAAAATATACATTAAAGAATTGTGCACAAATGTTCATGACAGCTTCATTCATAATGGCCCTAAAGAAGAAACAACCTGGGGCCAGCACTGTGGCTTAGTGGGTAAAGCCACCACCTGCGACACCGGCATTCCATATAAGTGCCGGTTCTAGTCCCTGCTGCTCCACTTCCAACCTTATTCTCTGCCAATGAGCCTGAGAAATCAGAACTTGGGCCATTGCACCCATGTGGGAGACCTGGGCAGAGTTCCAGGCTCCTGGCTTCGGCCTGGCCCAGCCCTGGCCTTTTAGGGAGTGAACCAGTGGATGGAAGATTCTTCCCTCCTTTCTCTCTCTTCCTGTCTTACTCTTTCAAAAAAAATAAATCTTTAAAAAAAAAAAAAAGAAAGAACCAAAATGCTCATCAGTAGATGAGCAGATTGTGGTATGTCCAGATAGTGAAATTCTACACAGAAATAAACAGCAGGAGTGGTTGTTTGGTGCAGCAGGTAAGACACTACCCGGGGTTGCCTGTGTTCCAAATAAGTAACTCTTAATTGGTAAACACTTGTAAGGAAAAGAAACAAGTGACTGCCCTGTGTGATAGGGCAGCAGAGTAAACCTCGAGTGATTCCTTTGCTAAGAAATGCTGGGACAGGCAAAATGAATCTAAGGTGACAGAAAGCAGATGGGTGGTTGCCTAGCGTGTAGTGTCGGGGAAAGAGCAGGGAGGGCACAGAGGAACTCTTGCTGGGATGGCAATGGTCTCCATCTTGACTGCAGTGAAGACTACAAGGTGTAGACATTTGTCAAAACTGCACAGGAGCTGCCTTCTGGCTGCGAGCTGTGTGCTCAGAATGGGTGCACACATTGTACGTGTTGCATGTAAATTGCACTGCAGTAAGACTGAGTTTTTAAAAGGAAGCAGGAGGGGTCAGCGCTGTGATGTAGCGGGTAAAACCGCCACCTGCAGTGCCGGCATTCCCAATGGGCACTGGTTCGAGACCCAGCTGCTCCACTTCCAATCCAGCTCTCTGCTATGGCCTGGGAAAGCAGTAGAAGATGGCCCAAGTCCTTGGGCCCCTGCACCTGCATAGGTGACCCTGAAGAGGCTCCTGGCTCCTGGCTTCGGATCAGCACAGCTCCAGCTGTTGCGGCCAACTGGGAAGTGAACCAGCAGATGGAAGACATACACCCCACCCCACTGCACGCCTCTCCTTCTCTCTGTGTGTAATTCTTTCAAATAAATAAATAAATTTTTAAAAAATAAAAAAGGAAGTAGGAAAGAAAGGGAGAAGGACAGAGGATGGGAGGGAGAGGGGGAAGGAAATATCACTGTGTTCCGAGAATTCTATCTACAAGTCACATTGAAACGGCTAAAAACTAATTACAATTTAAAAAGTTTTAAAAAGGAAGCAGAAAAAAGACCGCCCTAAATTCTTCCCTCTCTCCCAATTTTCCTTCATCTCTGGACCATGCTTTGTCTTCTCTGTGAGCCCTTCACGTCCTCTTTTCAAACCCCAGGGGTCACCGGATCTCCTATCCCCAGTGCTCTTCTCTGCCGCATAACCTAATTACTTCCCGCCAATGGCATGGCTGCCACCTGTTTGAGGGTCATTCCCAAATCCCTAGGACTCGCTTAGCCTCCTCCCCAGAGCTCCACACAGCTGTACCAAATCCTAATGGAAAATCTATACCTCAAGCTCAACACGCTCACAACTGAGACCGGCTACCTCCCATAACCACAAGCCTGCCTCTTCTACTGTATTCCTCCTATACTTGACACACTATGCCTGGCACAGAGTCAGCACTTTAGATACTATCTGTTGAATGAATCAAATATGGCATTATTAACAGCCTTCCCCAGTGTTCATACCCCAAATGCCCAAAGCAGCCAGGGCTGAGCCAGGCAGAAGCCAGAAGCCAAGAACCCACATGGGTGGCAGGAGCCCAACCACCTGAGCCATCAGCCACTGCCTTCCAGGGTGTTCCTCAGCAGGAGGCAGGAACCGGGGGTGGAGCCAGAGCCAGAGCCCAGGCACTCCACCAGCGGCTCCACCGCTAAGCCAAATGCCCTCCCCGCCCTCTAGTAGTTGAAGCACGTGGTCAGCCTGTGTTGTGGAAATTGTGTAGGGCAGCCTCTCCCTCCCTTAGGGAGCCCAGAGAGATACCATCTCCCTGTAGGCTGACCGTGTAACTCTCAGCAGATTCTCACCCCAGACACTCAACACGAAAGGCACAGAGACTAGATGACAGAAATGAACTCAAATTCTTGGCTACCATTGATACAACTTTAGGAGATTCCTTAGTCTTGGAACTCTGCCTTCCTTATCTCCGAAGCAGACACAGACACTTGTATTCTAAAGTTGTCATGCATTGTCACCAGGTGAGGCCACTGCCTGGCACAGGAAGTGTCACAAGATGTGAGTTCAGGGTTCTGGGGCTCCTTCCCCCCCCCCACCTCTGCTCTCACCCCAGAGGGAGGGGGGTTGAGAATGGGGCTGCTTCACACCTCTGGATAGCACCTTCTCAGATTGACAGGCTTCGGTATTTCAAGAAAAGGAACATGGCTGTCCCCATGCCCTCGCCTCCTACATCAGGGTCACCACCAGACGGCCTGCGATTGGTATTCTGGGCACATGTGGCGCACTGCTGAGGTGCTGTTATCTGACCGTGCATCTGTCTGGGAAACCAGAAAAAAGGAACGCTGTGTTTTAGAAAGTGTATTTTCCCCTCCCCAGGTAAGCAGGAGAAATAATGGAATTCAAAGGGAAATGACCACGCCGTGGACCTGCTGCCCGCCAGGTGTCCTCCCAGCCCACAAAGACAACTGTTTTAAGGTAATGAAAAAACACTCCCTGTTGGGGAAGCAAATGGAACCACATGTTTCCGAAACGGTTTGAGAGAAAGCAGCAGACACAGTGAGCAGACAGCAAGTGCATGTCAAGTAGGCTCCGCACAGCCTGGCTCGCACACAAGGCCTTCTGGCAGGGGCTCTGAGAAAGGCTCTTGAAATCAGACCACCCATCAGGAAGCTACACGGTCTTCCATGGTGGAGCCCACAGGTGACTCAGCTTCGGTGGGGTGCAGAGAGGCTCCCCTTTCCCCTGTGGCCACAGCCCAAGAATTCACCTTCATTGCTGTCTCTCTAATGCTGCTGCTCTCCCAACTCTGAGCCCTGGGACACTGTCTCCCCGGTTCTTCCTTTATAACAAACACACAGGCTTTTCTGGTTGGAAGAGCTGACTGCCAATCACCAGAAGAAGGTGGGCAGGGAATAACCAAACCAGCAAAGAGGAAGACATGTCTTTCCCCAATGGGCCCTTGTACACAGGGTGCCATGTTGTCCCTCTTTGCTCAGGACGGTCCTGTGCTACACCTGCTGTCCTGGTATCATTACTAAGAGCATCCCTCTAACTCTCAAAAGCACCCACGTTTAGTCATACAGCCAAGTAAGTCAGCCTATTTGTTTGGCACTTACTGTATGCCAGGCACATAAACATTAACCAAAGTAATCCTCAAAGCAATCCACGATGCAAAAACCATTTAAAAAATAACAAAAGCAAACCAGGAAGAAGTTAACTTACCTGAGGTTACACAGAGTGTTGCAGCCAGGACTTGAACTGAGGCAGTCTGGCTTCATTGCCATTAATCACTAGGCCTGACTGTGACAAAGCTTTAGGAAATCATGCAGTTTTTCATTTAATAAATATTATTCCAAAATGGAAAAAGAAAAACGGTGTGTTAATCATGCCTAATCTGTGCCAGGCACCACACTGTAAACCAGGAGGAGAACCCAGGGCAGGAAGAGATGCAAGTAAAAGGACAGAGAGTGCGAGGTGCGCTGGGAACGAGTGGGATCGAGGTAGGGGTGGCACCTAATCAGGCCTTACGCAATCACAGTGAACTTCCTGGAGGAAGTGACCCTCAAGGAAAGTCCTGAAGAAAGAATAGTTAAATGGACTGAAAGAACCAAGAAAACATGGTTTAATCAGAATAGCTTGGGGTACCACATCCTATACCACAGTGCCCAAGTTCAAGTCCCAGCTCCACTGCTGGTCCCAGCTTCTTTCTAATGCACACCCTGCGAGGCAGCAGATGGTGGTTCAAGCAGTGGTTCCTGCCAACTGCACAAGCCCTGGCTGGAGTTCCTGTCTTCTCACTTTGACCTGGCCCAGCCCCAGCTGTAATGGGCACTTAGGGAATGAACCAGTGGATGAAAGATTTCTCTGTCTCTCTGCCGTTCAAATAAATATAAATAAAACATAGTGTTTTTTTTTTTAAGAGAAGATCTTGAGGCCAAAGATCACAATGAAATAAGAGAATCAGTATCTTGGCTTCTCTCTTCTCTCGTCTTTTCTCTCCTCGCTAGCTCCTTTCCTGTCTCTCTCTTATGCTCTCCTTCTCCCTCTTTCTCCTTCTTCGCCCCTTCCCTCCAGCCTGCTGGGTTTCCCCAATAAACTCTTTCACTTAAAAAAAAGAAATAAGAGAATCCAAGTAGGTCGGGGGAGCTTAGCACTGACTGGGGCAGGGGATATAGAAGTTGGAGCCAGAAACATAGGCAGAGACCCAAGGAGGAATGAGGCCAGCGTGCTCGCATTCACACATCTCCTGCCTTGGATGGGAAGCCTACAACATTCTACGCAGATATGTGGAGGAATGAGCTGATCTCATTTCCACTGAAGCAGAAATTCACAGGAAAGGGTGTTACCAGGACCCCCCGGGAGGAAGGAAGGAAGTTGACTTGAACTAAGGTAGTAACAGCTGTGGAAAGACCGTGTGGGGCTGGAGGTAGACCCCACAGGAGCTGGGGATCAGCTGATGTGCTGAGTGAGGACAGGAGGGCCAAGGACGCCAGGGACCCAGGATCTAGGCCTGGGTGATAGACACGGGCGGGGGAAGCGGCCGAGCAGAGACGGTCACTCAGCTTCGGATCAGGTGGCTCACACAGGGGCGTGTGTCCACTGGGGTCGAGGGGGGAGGAGAAAGAGCCAGCCACAAAGAAGGCTGGGCAGGGGCACTCGGAGAGGCAGACCAGCCAGACAGCTGGGTATCATCGTGGCCACCACGAGGAGCAGGAAAAGGCAAGTGTCCTGCCGTGCAGGGAGGACAACCTGGGGTGAGACGCAGCCACGTAGCTCATCAACAGGCTGGCCTTTGGCAACCTTAGGGGAGCAGCTTCACGGAGCAGGCACGACTGAGACTGCAGACGGATGAGGAGAGGCTGCGAGCAGGCCCAGCGAGGGGAACTCGGAATTAAGGGAGGAAGACAGCATGGAGCTGGACTGGTGGAAGCAATGGTCAGATCCTGGAATACCAACACCCAGCTCCCTGCTTTGTTTTATTTTTTAAAGAATTATTTATTTACTACTTGAAAGTCAGAGATACAGAGAGATGGAGAGACAGAAAGAGAGGGGGAAGATCTTCCATCCGCTGGTTCGCTCCCCAAATGGCTGCAGTGACCAGAGCCGGGCCAATTGGAAGCCAAGAGCCAGGAGCTTCCTCTGGGTATCGTGCATGGTTGCAGGGGCCCAAACACTTGGGCCATCTTCCGCTGCTTTCCCAGGCGCATTAGCAGGGAACTGGATCGGAAGTGGAGCAGCTGGGACTCGGAGCAGCACCTACATGGGATGCTGGCGCCACAGGCAGAAGCTTAACCTATTAGCCACATTGCCAGCGCCTCCCTGTTTTATTTTTAAAATTTATTTATTCAAAAGGCAAAGTCAGAGAGAGAGAGGGAGGGAGAGAATCTTCCATCTATTGGTTCACTCCCCCAAACAGCTATAAAAACCAAGGCTGGACCAGGCAGGAACTCCAGCCAGGTCTCCCACACTGGTGGCAGGGGCTCGAGTCCGTGGGCCGTCTTCTACTGCCTTCCCAAGCACGTCAGCAGGGAGCTGGATGGGAAGCTGAGGAGCCAGGACTCAAACCAACGCTCGGCCATGGGATACCAGCATCCCGAGCAGCGGCTTAACCTGCTGCACCACGATGCCAGTCCCTTGTCTTTGTAATTGTGCTAAGAGCATTTAACCTAGGAGGCGCATTGGCCTAAGCTGTACCCTGGCAACTCTGGGCTCATTTTGGCCCAGCGGATCTCTTGCGCGACTGAACCTTTGCACCCACTGACAACGCCTCCCATCCCCCTGGCCTGCAGCCCAGCATCTGCTCTCTGAGTCTACAAATGTGGCAATTTCGGGCACTTAGAAGCATGGCTGCAGCTTGCTCAAGAGGAGTCACCGCTTGGCTGGGGCAGAGAGAGCAAGGGCAGAGTGGCACGGGGTGATTCTCGAGAGACCGGGGCCAGAGAACAAAGGCTGGCACGTCGGGTTATCCTAACCCAAAGATGTAAGGGTGGGCACCATTGGACCTGTGAGACCGCTGTGTGGAAGGAACTAAAGCAAAACCCGACCAGCTGGACGGTGCGTGCTTTCGTCACGGAGACAGACCGAGGCGATGATGGTGTAGAAAGACACAGAGGCATTTGAGATGCGTAGGAGGTAGAATTGATGGGGCTGGTAATGCGTCGGTGGTGGGGAGGAAAAGACATCCCTAAGTCTCCCTTCACTTCATTTTGTCTTTGCTACAATTCTGGGAAGCACGTTGTTTTCTCCAGTGTATGGATAAAGGGCTTGAAGCTCAGAGGGCTCCTGTGTCTTGTCCAGGCCACCCAGCCAGCAGGCCTGGCTCTCCAGCCTCTCTTTCTCCACGATGTTGCGCAGGTGCCAGGCAGCTCATCCTTGGGGCGACTCCCTGCTCTGTTGTGCCAGTGAGTGCTGGGCCTCGTCAATACCTCCCATGGTGCACCTGTTATCTGTTTGCCTATGCAACAGGAAAATAAATGAGAATGTCATCACAGACGCTGGCTTAGGTTCCAGCCCAGCCCAGCCATTGCGAGCACCTGGGAAGTGACCCAGCAGAAGCAGTCTGCTGAAGTCAAGATGGAATTCTTCGAGGTGGGAATGGCCCATGACTTTCTACTCTTAAAAAAAAATTGTGGGGCAGGCATCGTGGTACAGCAGGTTAAGCCACTGCATGGGAAACTCGCATCCTAGAGTCCCAGCTACTCTGCTTCGAATCCAACCCCCTGCTAATGCTCCTGGGAAAGCAGTGGATAACAAATCAAGACTTGGGCCCCTGCCACTGACCTATGAGACCCTGATGGAGTTCCAGGCTCCTGGCTTCAGCCAGGTCCAGCCCTGGTTGTTGTAGTCATTTGGCAAGTGGACCAGTGGAATGGAAGCACTCCACTTGTTTCTCTCTCTCTCTCTCTCTCTCTCTCCCTTTTCAAATAAATCTTTAAAAAAAAAAAAAAGGCGGCCGGCGCCGTGGCTCACTTGGTTAATCCTCCACCTGCGGTGCCGGCATCCCATATGGGCACCGGGTTCTAGTCCCAGTTGCTCCTCTTTCAGTCCAGCTCTCTGCTGTGGCCCAGGAAGGCAGTGGAGGATGGCCCAAGTGCTTGGGCCCTGCACCCGCATGGGAGACCAGGAGGATGCACCTGGCTCCTGGCTTTGGATCAGCACAGCTCCGGCCTTAGTGGGCAGTTGGGGAGTGAACCAATGGAAGGAAGACCTTTCTCTTTCTCTCTCTCTCTCACTGTCTATAACTCTACCTGTCAAGGGAGGGAAGGGGAGGGGAGGGGAGGGAAGGGAACCATTGGGGCTGGCGCTGCAGTGTAGTAAGTAAAGCCACCGCCTGTAGAGCTGGTATCCTATATGGTTACTGGTTCAAGTCCCAGCTGCTCCACTTCCAATCCAGATCTCCACTGTGCCCTGAGAAAGCAGTGGAAGATGGCCCAAGGGCTTGGGCTACTGCCCCTGCACGGGAGACCTGGAAGAAGCTCCTGGCTCCTCGCTTTGGATCGGCCCAGTTCCTGGCGTTGCAGCCATTGGGGAGTGAACCAGTGGATCAAAGACCTCTCTCTCTCTCTCTCTCTCTCTCTGCCTCTGCCTCTCTGTAACTCTGCCTTTCAAATAAATAAATATATCTTTAAAAAAAAAAAGAAAACTGTTACAAAATCAGACTGCAAGAGAATGCCAATGCATGATGTAAGTCATGGAAACCCTGACCAAATGTTTAAGCAACTGTCTGATAAACATTAATTAAAGGCCACATCTTCTTGTGGGAAACTAGTCCCAGCTAGCTATCAGCTGACTGTCCAGCATGTCTGAATTTTTAGACAGAAATTTTGTTTTTTTTCCTTGTATTTAATTTAACAACAATCATCTATTTTCATTTCTTATGAAATATCCTTACCAAGAGATAATTTTTAATAACTATAACATAGGTCTCTTTCCTCTGGACAAATTTGAGATAAACCTTGACATGTATGCATAATAAATTGTCTACAATAGTAATTCTTGAAGCGCAGGACCTCAGTAGAAATAAAAATTCTTGGGCTCACTCCAGACTGAATCAGAAACCCTGGAAGGGCCAGTACTGTGGCGTAGTAGGCTAAGCTTCCACCTGCAGCACCGCCATCCCATATGGGCACCAATTCGAGTCCCAGCTGCTCTACTTCCAATCCAGCTCTCTGCTGTGGCCTGGGAAAGCAGTGGAAGATGGCCCAAGTGCTTGAGCCCTTGCACTCTCATGGGAGACCTGGAAGAAGCTCCTGGCTCCTGGTTTCAGATCAGCATTGCTCCTACCTGGGGAGTGAACCAGCAGGTGGAAGACCTTTCTCTCTGTCTCAGTCCCTCTCTCTCTCTCTCTCTCTCTCTCTCTCTCTCTCTCTCTGTAGCTCTGCCTCTCAAAAAAAAAATAAATCTTAAAAAGAAAGAAAGAGAGAGAAAGAAAGAATCTGAAAGGAACATTCTGGAGCAGGATCCAGCCACTGGCAAGTTAGTAAGATCTTCAGGGGGATGGGCATTTGGCTCATCAGTTAAGATTCCACTTAGGACACTCACATCCCATATCAGAGTGCCTGGTGTGAGTCCTGCCTCCGCCTCCTAGCCAGGTTCCTCCTTGTGTGCACCCCAGGAGGCAGCAAGTGATGCCTTGTGTACTCGAGTCCTGCCACCCACATAGGAGACTTGGACTGAGTTTTGGGTCCTTGGCTTTGCCCGTTGTAGGCATTTGGGCAGCGAACTAGCAGGTGGAAGTTTTCCATCTGTCTCCATCTCTCTGCCTTCCGAGTAAAGGAAAATAAAGAAAACCTCAGGTGATTCTGACACAGTCTCAAATATGAGCATCTCTGGCCTTTAAAAATCTCTTTAACACTGCCCATACCATACCCAGGTCCCCAGATGCTCACGGCAAAACTGCTATGCATCACAGATTTCCGAAAGTGCTGCTCTGGATAAGGAATGGCAAGGATCAGGCATCCTAGAGTTTCTGACAGTGATCAACCAGAGGGGTGGCCAGGTCACAGCACAGGGAGGGCAAGGCGGAGGCCAAGCGACCAAAGGGAGACCAAGTGCACGAGCAGCGCACGACAAATCCTCAAATGCCTAAGATACTTCCTGCTTGCCTCCCAAACCTCCATCCCCACATCTTGTAAAGAAGTAAGCAGTAGAGAGAGTTCCAGTTAAGGTGATAGGTCTTCCCCCACTGCTCATCCATGTCTCCAGGTAGAATACACGCCCTAGAGCCAGCCAATCAGAGCAACACTTCCCCTGGCCCCACCGACCAATTCAGGAATAAGCACGTGATCCAGGCAGAGCCAAGGAGACACTGCGGGAGTTGTCTCCGAATTCTGCAGAAGCGCAAGTGCACTTTCCTATCGAATGTGGCAGGTTACAAAGCCAGCGTGCTTACGGCTGGTTGAGGAAGAAAGCTCTCAGAACACAGAACCCGCACAGAGGAAGCAGTGTTGAGACAGAGAGGGAGAACTCTGCTCTCGGGAACGGCTTTGAGAAGCTGTATCTGAGATGAGACAACCTGGAACTTGGCGGCTGCATGAGCCAACACAAGCCCTTTCTGCTAGGGCTTGTCTGGATGTTTGTTCCACCCCTCCACCTGGAGGAGTGCTGTTTGTTGAGGCCGGCCAGTGGGGCTGGGGGGTCTGTGGGCCCCTCAGACGTAGGCAGAACTTCCTTCACGTGCAGGCTGCCAGCTGTGGCTGGAAAGCCTGTTTACAGACCAACTGGCATCTCCTGCACTAACAGCTTCTTGTGCTGCACGGGTGACCTTGCAGCCTCAAATCACATCTTTGGGTGGGGGCAAACTTTCACTCAGAGCTGGCAGGGGAGGGGCTGAGCACCTGGGGAGAGTCGGACCGGCTCCAGGAGACCCTGGCCATCTTGTGTGACCTTGAGGACCTTGAGGTTTTAAATCATGCCTTCAAGTTAGTTGCCATCTTCCACCCAGAGCTAGCAGAGGAGGGGGCTGAGCCCCTTAGGAGACGGACAGTCTCCAGGAGACCCTGCTATCTCCTTGAGCCCCAGGCCAATCAACATACGTATGTAAAACCCCTGTCCAATGGGCATCCCCAGTAGGATGACCCAATGAACAGACGGCAATGCCTTAAAAACCCAGACACTCCCTCAACGCCAGTGTCCCGCTCGGGCACTCTGCCTGCTCTCCTCTCCAACTAGATGCGTTCTCTGTCACTTGCCAAACAAATAAAAGTTTCTGCCTCTTTACAAGTAGTTTTCCTGCTTTTGATTTCTATACAAAGCTGAGGAAAAGAACCCACAAGAGGCACTCCGGCAACCGCCCTCCCCTCGGTGAGCAGTAACACTTGTGATGTAAGGTAGTGGTCTGAGTTATGTTGCTATGTGGCTACAGAAAGCAGGAGCCCTGGGATCAGCAAGGTACCCAGGTCTGCCTCCCACCAGGGCTGTGATGGCCCCAGGTGCAGACCTGTGTGCTCCTCACCCCCGGAGTAGCAACAGGCATTCAGTCACTATTTTAAGAATGTCACGGTGGCAGAAAGAGAAGGGGATGGGAAATGTTCAGAGCCCTCCCCAGGAGGCAGAGATGCTGGGTCGCCTGTCTGTTTTGTTCAGGACACACTTGGCCTGCAGGGGCCCAGCAGGAGCCCTGCGGCAGGAAATGAAGGCAGAGAGGCTTCCAGCAGCAGCCTACTCCACACAGCCTTCCCAGGACATTGGTGCAGCCGTAACGGGTCAGTACTCGTCCTACAAACACTTCTCCCCTCTGTAAGCAACAAGGGCCCATTCAGCCAGCTGTGCCATGCCTCCACTGAAATACAGAGCTGAGGAAACACGGAACTGCTTTTCACCAAACCGAGACTCGTGGAGCAGCCTGGCCCGGCCATGCTCCTGTCTCTGGCCGGAGCACAGAAATCACGCCCTGCTTACTGTCAGGCCGTGCGTGGGGAAACCGGGACAGAGAAAGGGGACCAGCCTTGGAGTGAGCTTCAGCCCTTCTGCTCAGCCCAGAGCTTTGCCTGATGAGCTGACCCCAGCAGAGAGGATCCAGGCTCCAGGTGGGAAGAAGGCACCCTGGGTACAGGAAGAGAGAGAGAGAGAAACCTAGCGGTGGAGGAGGGGCTGGAAGGGCGGGGTGGGGGGGAGCTCATCTTCAGGGAACTGGGTTAACTTACAAATGAGTTACAAAAAAGCCTAACTTGCTCCACCTGACTGCCTGTATGAAGGCTACATTTAGAAGCAGCAAATGTAATATCAGTTTATCCATGCCTTATTTGGCATATTTCTTTAATAATTTCAGATTAGAGTGAAAGATTACAGGGAAGAGAAATCCTTGTGACTCACCTAAAGGGATATGAAGCATCCTGCCCGGGACAATGACTGAGCTGTATTTTGGGGCTCAGGGGAGGAGTTTATAATGATCCAAATCCTCGGGAATTTTGCTGGATGATTTGGGAATTCCATAGTTGAGCACATCAACTTCCAGGAATCTTTTATTTATTTATTTACTTATTTGAAAGGCAGAGTTACAGAGAAACGAGAGATCTCTGGTTCACCCCTTAAAAGGCCCCAGCAGCCCACAGCAAGCCAGGAGCCGAGAATGGTAGCCGGGTCTCCCTGTGCGTACCTGGGCCCAAGCACTTGAGCAATGCTTTTCCCAGGTGCATTAGCAGGGAGCAGCCGGGACTCACAGGGGCCTCGGGCCTGGCAGGAGGCTGCTGTCAGGGGGTCCCTTTCAGCGATTTTCTGTCTCCTCTACTTCTAGGGATTTTCCAACTCCTTTAGGCATGCCCCGGCCCCGCCCACCAGCTTCCACTGTGATTTCCACCGGGAGTGATTCAGGGCTGGGGGGCCCTCCCCACGCGCTGCCCAAGCACAAGGCACCCGGGAGCCTGCGGACTTACATAGAGCTTTGCTGCCCTTTCTTGGGGAGCTGGGGGGATCCAAAGGACCACGTGACCCCAGCTTCCTGGCCCTCAGGAAGTGCTGCCGGGGAAAAACAACACTGAATCACACGGGCTCGGTGCCACCCTTACCGCCCACCCGCTCCATGGACAGCGCGGAAACCGCGTGGGCGTGCAGTCCGGAGGGCGCGGCTGTGCCACCTCGGGAGGGCTTCTCAGCGACTCTCGTCTGCGCTTCCATGGCCTCATCAGGGACAGGGAAGATGATAATACCCCCTTTAACCTGCCGCTGTGGGGAGGAAAAGCCACATTATGCCTGGTGCCAAGTGGGCACTAAACAATCGGCTGCTGTTGTCTCTGCTACTGTCACGGTGTGACCTTGGGCAAGCCGCTTTACCTCTCTGAACTTGCTGTCTCTCCCGGAAACCTAGAAGTAATAAAGAATAATTAATGAATAAGAAACCTAGAAGTAAAAATAATTACCTCTCAGGATGGTTGCAAGGATCAAATAGGCTTTATCATGGCCAAACTAGGCTGGACGTGTAGGCGAAAACTAAGAGCTTGTCCCTGCGGGTCCCTGGAAGTTCCTACCTGCTGTGCTCAGAGCCCACACACCCATAAAAGGAAAAACCACACCAGGCGGGAGGTCTCCCAGGGGACGGCCGAGAGGGAGGCGGACAGCTGCAGGACCCAGCACTCAACACTAGAGGGAGCAACGAGCTCGGGAACGCACTCGGGGCCACACCCAAAATCTCTGCACGCTCCCTGGGGCCCCAGCCGCCCAGATTGGGCAGAACCGAAAGGAAGAGAACCGCCCAGGACTAATCAGAAGGGTCATGGCTGGGAGAACAGGTAGAAAATCTACCTTCCCCTCGGCTTCAGCCAGGTCCTAGACCTCTGGACTGAGGTCTCCGATCCACGGGCGGGGGAGGGGAGGTAGGGGACTTAGGGCTGGTCACTGTCGCCTTCTACCATCCCGCTGTTCTCAGTCCCAATTTATACACGTGGCCCACCCAGCGCCTTCGTGAGCCCCAGTGGAGCCTCACAGAGCCCCAGACGCTTCCTTGGAGGGCTGGGGCGTAGAGAGGAGAGGGAGGGAAAGTAGGCGCTGCGGGCTCCTTTATGATAATCCCTCTTAGAGCCTTCCAAATACCTTCCTATACCTGCTCTTCTAGGCAGCGACCCCATTTACCTATTGTTCGCTGGAGACAGGTCCGTAACCACCCGAAGCTCTCCTCTAGCCCCAGGCCTTCACTGCCACCCACCACTTCCTCCTCTCTTGCTTGCCCTTGTTTTAACATCAGTTGGGACTTCATACACACGTGACTCCAGGAACATTACTACTCAGCTCCACAAATCAAAGTGTCATGTGCTTGTTACATGGCCCATTTTCCTCACCCGGCTTCCATGATGGCACCATCAATTATAAGGGTGGCATTTGGAATCAGATCTAAGGAGGTATTCTCTGTTCATCACTTAAGAATTCCATGGCCTCGATTGCTCTGTGCCTCAATTTCCTCATCTGTAAAATGGGTATATTAGCATCTCCTGGGGTCCTTCTAAGAATGGAACTTAAAAGAATAAAGAGATGTACTGTGTAAAGTAACTACACAGTGCCTGGCACATAGTTTAACATCTTGAGAAAGATGCCCAGCTTATATAATTACACTACAATCATCAAGGGACTTGATCTTTTGGAAGCAATCCATGATTTTCATGTCATTTACCAATAAATTTAAATAGAGTTAATTGGGGAGATTCCTTTGCCGAGGAGGTTTGTGTACTGTCGCTCCCCCTCTTCGTGGAGGAACGACACAAGACCCTGCGCTGTTCTTTCTGTCTGCTCGGCCCTCCCCGGGTTTGTTGCTGGTTCTTCCCGGGTTGGCTACTATCCCTTCCACCTCCGTGGAAGGGCAGTTCCCCCTGGCCACATTCCCCACTTCCTCAGGGGAGCGGCACACCGCCGGCCGGCTTTCTCGGGGGCTGCACAGGTGTTCCTTCAGCTAGATGTTCCCCTTAGATGTTCCTGGTGCATGTTGTCTCTCTCCTCCTTTATAGTCCTCCTCCGCCAATCCCAACTCGGCTGCCCACATGCCGAGTACGCTGCTCTCCTCCAATCAGTAGCAAGTCCTACAGTTTATTGGTTGAACTGGAGGCAGCTGTGCGGAAGCTGTTTACTTCTCTCCCAGCACCATATTGTGGGAGAGCAGATGCATAGAATAAGTCTTAATTCCAGTAACTCAGTCTAGTCCGGTTTGCTCCCCACAGTGTACTGGGTTGAATGTGCCTCCTCGAAATTCCTATCCACCTGGAGTCTCAGAATGTGAACTTATTTGGAAATGTGATGAGTTTAGATGAGAAAATAGGTTAGTGTGTGCTCTAAATCCAATATGACAGGTGTCCTCCTAGGAAGAAGAGAGGACTGAGGGAAACACTGGGACACGGAGGGAGGAAGGCCATGTGGACACAGAGGCCGAGATTGTGGTGATGCACTTATAGCCAAGGGGTGCCGGGAACTGCCAGAAGCTGAGGAGAGGTGTGGAGTGGAGCCCTCAGAAGTCAGCCTGTCAACATTTTGACCTTGGAGGCCCAGCTATGTGGTGTAGCGTGTTAAGCTCCCCCCCTCCATCCGGGATGCGCCAATTTGAATCCCCGATGCTGCACTTCCGATCCAGCTCCCTGCTAATGCACCTGGGAAGGAGGTAGAAGATGACCCCAGAGCTTGGGCTCCTGCCACACACGTGGGAGACCCAGAAGGAGTTCCAGGCTCCTGGCTTCAGCCTGGTCAAGCCCTAGCCTACAATGGCCATTTGGGGAGTGAACCAGCAGATGGAAGCTCTCTCTCTCTTGCTTTCTCGCTCTCTCGCTCTCCCGCTATCTCGCTCTGTAAGTCCACCTTTCAAATAAATCATTTTTAAAAAGAAAAAAAAAAAAAAACACCCACCGTGACCTTGGGCCTCTGGCCTCCAGAGTGAGCAGGAACACATGTCCATTGCCTGGAGCTGCTCAGCTGATGGTCATTTGCTAGGGCAGCCTTGGAAAGCAGCACAGTGAAGGGCGGAGCAAGAGGCAGACTCTGCAGTCTTCACTCCCAGTGCAGCCTTCGTTCCCTCCGCCATCGCCTCCCCACCCACTGACACAATCTGTCATCTTCCACCTCTTTGGTAAGTTGTTGTCTGACACACAGTAGGCACTTCATGTTTCCCGACAAGTTGATAAACTGATAGACATAAAGTGTGATGTTATCACACTCAAGATACTACTATGAGCTCATTCCCCACCTCTGTGTACCCAGCTGTGCACCAGGCTCTAAATTTTACCTTCAAATTTTATATGTTGAAAAAAAAATCACAAAACAACTCCAGGACACTCTCTCACTGCTGTAGCCTGCGTGAGGCTCCCAAAGTCCTGCCTGCTTCCTAGCTCCAGGCTTGGACAAGTGGACAGGAGAGCAATCAGGACACCCTCAGGACAGTGCCATGTGCAAGGCTGAGTGACCGCACGCTTGCGGAGAGCTTCAGCACGTGCTCAGCAATGGGCAGGAGGGAAGCCAGGGAGGCAGGGGAATGGTCACCTGCTGTAAAGGAAGTAGGTCACAGGGCGCTGCTTCCTCATGGTCAGGCTTGAAGGATGAGGGGCCTTCAAAAAATGCATGGAAAATGCATATTACAAAAAAAAAAAACTTGCATGGGTTTCAAAAACTTTTTGCACCAAAATAAACCTCTCTATGAATTCCATTTCCCACATGGTCTGTGAAGCACCTGCTTAGAATGGGTGTGGGGGGTTAATAGCTTACAAAGGGAGGGAGGAGCTGATTCACTGATTCACAAACAGTGACTCAGAAGCCAGCAGAAAATAGCCTGTTCTCCCAGGTCTGCCTCACTGTCCAGTGATGAGGCACTTCCTCATTGCACACCCATGGCCAGAGCGAAGCGCAGGAGGAGGAAATGTAACTCACGATGTGTTTTTACCCTCTCAGACCTTGTATGTCCAGTCAGTATTTAGTGAGCACTTACTAAGTGCTCTTAGCCAAAGTATCTCCTGGTTTTTCCCATTACCTCTCAGATGGCATTATTCTGCACACAAATCACGCCGCCTTTGTGAAGTTCTGTATTTCCTAGGACACAACCCAAAAGCACTCGGGCTGCTGCATCTCAGCACATCATGCTGCTGGCTTTAGGTGCAAGACAGCGCTGACCCTCTGAAGTCCACGATCAACACAGGGAGGCATGGAGCTGTCTTCCTGGCTCTCGTATTGGCTTTGCAATTATCCATGCCCGTTGTCTGCACTGTGAGGTCCTCCTTGTGAGATCTAGTGGGCGGTACACCGAACATGGTATAGGTGTGAGGTTATCCATCTTTACTGGACGCTCTTTTTAAAAATTTTTTATTTATCTTGTTTGAAAGAGTTACGGAGACAAAGAGATCTTCCCTCTGCTGGTCCACTCCCCAAATGACAGCAACAGCCAGGGCTGGGCCAGGGTGAAGCCAGGAGCCAGGAACTCCATCTGGAACTCCCATGTGGGTGGCAGGAGCCCAAGCACCTGGGCCACCTTCCGCTGCTTTCATTACCAGGGACTGGAAGTGGAGCAGCCTTGACTCAGACTGGTGCTCGTGTGGGATGCTGGCGTCACAGGCCACTGTGCCACAGTGTCATCCCTGCAGGTGCTTTCTTTACCATTTACTAGCTCTATAACCTTACTTAACCCCTCTTGAGTCTCTGTCTTCTCCTCTGTAAGTTGGACACAATGTGGTCTTTTGTTGTTGTTGTTGTTAAAGATTTATTTATTTGAAAGGCAGAGTTAGAGAGAGAAGGACAGATATCTTTCATCTGCCAGCTCACTGCCCAGATGGCTGCAATGACCAGGGCTGGGCCAGGCCATAGCCAGAAGCCAGGAGCTTCCTCTAGGTCTCCCACGTGGGTGCAGGAGCCCAAGCACTTGGGTCATTTGCTGCTGCTTTCCCAGGCACATCAGCGGGGAGCTGGATTGGAAGTGGAGCAGCTGGGACTGACTTGAACCGGAGCCCATAGGGGATGCCAGCGCTGAAGGCTGCAGATTAACCCACTGCACCACAGCACTGGCCCCGATGTTGCCTATCTTACAGGATAGGGACCGAGTTCTCATACAGCACTGAAGATTATTTTTTTATTTTATTTTTTTGTTCTTTTGACAGGCAGAGTGGATAGTGAGAGAGAGAGAGAGAGAGAGACAGAGAGAAAGGTCTTCCTTTGCCGTTGGTTCACCCTCCAATGGCCGCCGCAGCCGGCGTGCTGTGGCCGGTGCACCACGCCGATCCGATGGCAGGAGCCAGGTGCTTCTCCTGGTCTCCCATGGGGTGCAGGGCCCAAGCACTTGGGCCATCCTCCACTGCACTCCCTGGCCACAGCAGAGAGCTGGCCTGGAAGAGGGGCAACCGGGACAGAATCCGGCGCCCCGACCGGGACTAGAACCCGGTGTGCCGGCGCCGCAAGGCAGAGGATTAGCCCAGAGCACCGGCCCGAGCACTGAAGATTAAATATCATGATATGAAAGACCCTGCACAGTGATGTCGTGATAAAAACTCCCACCTGGTCAGGTGGTTACAGACTGACTACTTCCTCCTCCCAAGCTGTAAACTGCGCCCTGCCTGCAGGATGGCGGGTGCGTCCCCACGACTGTGTTGCAAATAATAATTCAAACAAGCAATACTGAATTAAAGGTAATACATTACACATTAGAAACATTTGTCTTATAAGTACTTTTACTGTGCTAAAAATAGTGTGGTTCCGATCAATTTCCACCTGTGCGCCTAGGAAAAAGGAAACTTCGACCTCAGAGAGTGGTGCATCTTCTCTGTCTGCAGGCTCTAAGTCCTTCTTAGAGCTTGTTGCCACTAAGATCTACATTCCTTGCATCCTCCACACTGTCCTTTGTTTCCGCTTCACTGAAAACGCCATTACCCTGCGGTACAAGGGACCAGGAACACGAAGAAGTCTCCTCACCTGGCAAGAGACTTGCCACACAAACTTGGGATTGCTCCATTCCTGCCCCGAAGGCGGACAGGCTACGTCTATGCCCTCCTGGGTGCTATCCCGTGTCTCTGCCCCGGGGGCTCCAGACCTAGTATCCTCTTCTGCACTTCTCTGAAACAGAGGAGTGGTCGGTCCCGGGTCTTTCCTGTTGGCGCCCTTGCTTCCAGCACCACACCCAGGCGCGTCCAGGAAAAAGGGAGGGAGGGAGAGCAGGAAGCCACTTTACCAGGTTTTCAACAGCTAATTTTAAAGCAGACAACAAAGCTCACTTTATTTATTAGCATTTTACATAGGATTCCCATCAATCGGGCCATCAGACGCCCGCCAATCCCAAAACTCCTGTACAGTCAGGGTAAAGAACCTAGCGCTCGTGCCCTGGCCCTGCCCAGGAACTGCACAAAAGGTAAGAAAGTTGCAGACCCCGGGCCCGGGGCAGCACGAGCCCACCCTGGAGCCCCGGCAGGAGGAGGGCGCTTCCTTCCGGAAGTGACGCCACCTCAATCCCAGCCTGGCTCTCTCCAAACAAAAGGGATCCTGGGGCCCTGGGAGGAGCCTGAATGACATTGGAGAAGCTCCTCCTCCAGCCCGCGTGGATTGGTGCCGGCGCTGGAGAGACGAGGCGGTGACTGGCCCAGGCGAATGCCAGTGGCCCCGCCGGCGGCTGGGGAGGCGGGACCTCGGGGGCTGTGGATGGGGAACGGGTGGCGGCGGCGGAGGCGGCGGGGAGCGGATCCCGGAGCGCCGCGGGAAGGTAGGGGCGGCGGGTGCCTGGGCTCGGCGGTGGCGGGAGGCCGGGTTCTCAGAGAAAAGCAGGCGTAGGAGCGCGGGTAGCCTCTGCCACCGGCCGCTCTCATCCCCGGGGCCATCCCCTGAGGGGGCGGGGCCGCCTCCTCCAGCTCCCGGTATTCCCCGAGGAGGCGTCTCCTCATCCTCCGAGGGTCCTCGCCGCTACTACTGCATCCCCTTCCAGTTCCCGGCTCCTCGGCAGGGGCTTCCGTCGGGACGCCGCTCACCTAGAAGCCCCTCCCGTCCCGCGCCCCAGCCTTGGCGCGGGAATCGCAGGTTCCCGTTCTGTAGGCTGCCGCCCCCACCCTCGCCGTGTACGCTCCGGGGGCCAGCCCGCTTTCCCTCCACCTGTCCCTGCTCGCCGGGGTGGCACCGGAGCCGGTTTCCTCCGTAATAGCATATCAGTTTTCCAAAAAGGAAGGATGAGGCGAAGGGGGAAAAAAAAATCAAAGACGCGTAGTAGACGGCGAGCTGCACGGGCGAAGCGGCCTTCGCCACTTGCGTTCTGCCCATCCCCCATCCTCTGCAGCCCCTCTGCAGCCCCTCTGCAGCCCCGGTGACCCTCTGCTCTCCGTGGGGGAGTCCAGAGCTCCCTTGCCTCGGGACTCTTGTAGACTCTGGAAGAAAGAGAAATGGCACCGCCAACCCACCACGCTTTGTACCTTCCCTCTATTGCTTCGGGACCGCCCAGCTTCTGAGGGTCGTTTCAGATTTGAGCTGCGTTTTATTTTTGCTTTCCACCCTGTTTTCTCCCCGAGAGCTTGATGGGAAGCCGTCCTCCTTGTGTTTCACGATGAGGTGGGCGTGTGGGCTATCTGCAGACTTGGCCTCGCGTGGGTAGGAATACAGGGCATATTGTTTGACAATCAATGAACAAGAGCGTGTTTTCAAATGAAACGGGGTGGATAAATAAATGAGGAACGAGGGTCTCGCCGGCCTGGGTGGGCTGAGCCCGTTGCTCAGGGAGAAGCCAGTTAACCTTGAAGCTGTACTGCAGGTTGAGACAAAAGGCAGGAAGTGTGGGGAGAAAATTCAGGTTCAGTCGTCTAGGTTTATGATTAATCTGGGCCCTCGGCCTTTGATTACTCCCCAGCCCCTCTTTTAGAGTGGCTTTTCCCCTACTGGGACACAAAAAACCTATAGGATGTTATTGATTGGTTTTATAATGCCATTATCATCCACCAAAATTTAGAATATCAGCAATAAAATTTGTATCTCAGAGATAAGGGTAAATAAAGGCAAGGTGGACGTTAGCTATTAACATATGTAAATACCAACACACGTCTCTGTGGTGTGCTTGTAAAGGATTTGTAGCAGATGCAACAGAGTGATGCCTTTTGCCTGATGTTCATGGCCTGGAGCCCTCAGTAACCATCTGTGCTTAGCACTTCTATATATTAAAACCTGCTGTATTTTTAGCCTTTTTTTTTTTTTCTCTGCTTTGCTTTCCATCCCAAGTCCATCTCACTGCTGTTATATTTAGCCAAAGCAATGAGATGCAAGGAGTTGGAATCACAGAGGGTGACTGTAGGCTGTTGTCTCTGACTCCCCTGCATAGCCATCCTGAGATGACTTCCTGGAGGTAATGAGTGTTGTGTGGTTGGGTTCCGAGTCTGCAGAGCGGTTCTCAGTGCTGGCTGAGCTGCTCAGTGGTTGTTTCCGGACCTGCAGGAGGAAAGCATCAAGAAGACTGTGTGTGCAGGGTCTTCCCAGCAGCACGGAGTGCACTGCTGCCCTAGTAGGGAAAGACATGGGCCTCGCTGCAAAAGCGGCAGAAAAAAACAGAGAACAGGAAATCCCAAGAAGGTGTATCTTATTACATGGGCAGAGGTCAGAAAATAAGCTAAGAGGCTGAGGACACCAGTTGGTGGCAATTGCCAGGGCCTTAATAAATGAGAGGAAAAAGCAAATAACATTCTTGGATGATTTGGCACACTAAGCAGGACCTGTTTGATACAGCTTTGTGTCTTGGAAAGCTCCTCTAACTTTTTCAACATCCGTCTGGTGTGTTAAATGAAGAAAACATTTCGGAAGCAGAAAATTTGTATGTGCATCTTATTAAATTACAGATTCTGTGAGGGCAGATAGAGCTTTCTTTTTATCTTTTTATCCTTTACAGTGTGTGGTATATATACTGTGACTTAATGAGTGTTTAAGGAACTTAGTTTGAAGCTATTGTCTTAAGCTGGAAAGATAGTGTACTGATAAAATATGGCATGCCTTATTAGTATAAACATATGTTTTTGGTCTTGATTTGACTTGATTTTCCTTATCTGAGGGCTTCTAAAACTCCAGTATCATAAGGAAACATATGCTGGCCAGGTAATATAATTTTGCCATCATGAAATATGAACCAGACTTATGAACCCAAGTGAAACCTGTGCATTTCAGAATTTTATTTTTCTAAGACTGACCTAATGGGGATGAAGTAAGTTGAGGAGGGCCTACTAACTGATTGTTTACTGATTTCCATTGAAGGATAGTTTCTCTGAGTGTTTGGTTTTGATAAGTTACTGATTTATTTCAGAATTTTTCAAAATGGATTTTTCGTTGATTTTGTGCTTTTAAGCTGGCACTAGCTATATAAACAGAACAGCCTCCCCAGTGTAATCATATGGACTGATTATGGTGGGCGTAATACACAGTCTGCAATGGACTTGTGTTTGCGGTGCTGCCCGTTAAATCGCAGACCTTGACTTTGAGTGCTGGCTTTTCTGAGTGGAGCAGACCGGTGCGTTTCTCAGGCGTTGCCATTGAGCTGGCGTTGAGATGTGCCAGGTGAGAAGTATAGACTCGTCTGCAGGGGCACTTTGTCTAGTCAACTGATTGACCCCTCTCCTGGCTTGTCAGCCTGTTTCTAAATACCCTGAATGTTTGCTGCTAATAATGAAAATCAAGTCTTCCAAGTTTTAGTTTATGTATTTCAAGCGAGAAAATGGCTGTAGAGTGTGGCTGTTGGCAACACAGACTTCAAAGGCAAACCTGGGTTCAAATCCCAGCTCTACCACTGTGTAGTGGCGGGACCCAGGACGTGGACAGAGTTTTCCATCTCTGCCATACTTCAGTTTCCTTAGCTGTGGGATAGAAATAACTGGGGCCTGCATATGAGAAGCACTTAATAATTGATAGGTATTATTACCGTTATTATTATTAGCATGTGGCATGTAGATTAAAGCACTTAACAGGAAATATTTTTACCTCATTTAGCATTTTTTGCAAAGGTGAAGAATTGACGTGATTTTACTTATTGGTTGGTTTTGTTGAAAATTTTAGAGGGAAGCAGAGTTTGCATATTAAGATCTCAAAAGTCTGAGCTAAGGACTTTTAGGAGAGTGTGTGTCTGTCTGGGAGTGTGTGTGTGTGTGTGTGTGTGTGTGTGTTTAGTAATTTTCTCATGCGAATTCTCTTTCTTGAACTTTGTAGCCTGAGGACAAAGAAGGCCAGGGATTCAGCCAGCTGGTGGATTCGTTCTGAATTATCAGTTGCTCAGAGCTGCGCTCTCTTGAGTACCACCATCCTAACTGGCAAATGGCTTTGTGCGTACTACGGTTGCATCTTCCATGAGACTTCAGGGATTTTCGGTGACAGTTTTGATTAAAAGCGACTTGTGCCTTACTTTTGAAGACTACCTTCCCTCACACCCCAAAACTAAGAAGTCATTATAGGAACAACCAAAACGGAGGTGAGAAGAAAGCATGGGTTAGGGGCCGTAAGAGTGAAAGTGGAGGAAGGGGAGAGTGAAGGTTTATGCATAGAAGAGAACAGGGCCGCAAGCAGGTACTGAACTCAAGAATGCAATACTATGGTCCTCCTTGCCAAGTATCTCCGAACTATATTTCATGGACAAAGCCAAAGCTTTCAATCCAAATGTGTCCTTTGCCCTTGAATCCTTTCTGGCTTCTATAATCCTTAATTGATATTGAGTTTAAAGAATATAACCCTAATTGTTAGCATAATAGGAACCAAGGGGCCAGTGCTACACAACTGGTTAAGGCATTGCTTGTGTCTCTGCCATCCCTTATCAGAGTTCCCGTTCCAGTCCCCGCCATTCGCTTCCAATGCAGCCTCCTGACAATGTACCTTGAGTGAAAGGTGGCCCAAGTGCTTGCCATGCATTTGGGAAACCCAGATGGAGTTCCTGGCTCCTGGCTTCCTCCTAACCAAGACCTGGCTGTTGTGGCCATTTGGGGAGTGAACCAGTTGATGGACAAGCTCCCTCTCTTTCTTTCTCAGTCACTCTGCCTTTCAAATAAATATATCTTCTAAAAAGAAAAAGAAAGTAGGAGAGAAGAGGATGATGGGTTTGCAGACAAAAAAAAAATTTTCCTGACTTGAGTGCTTTAGGGGCACTTGCATATACCTTTATGCAGGGTGCTGGGAAAGGCTAGGCTGAGGTGTGCTCTGGCTCTGTCCTCATAGAAAGGTGAGAGCTGAGGCTGGCACTGGAGCGTAGAGGCAGATTAAGCTGCTGCCTGCAGTGCTGGCATCACATATGGATGTCCGTTTGCATCCCAGCAGCTCCACTTCCAACCCAACTCCCTGCCAATGTGCCCGAGGGAAGCTACAGAAGATGACCCAAGTCCTTGGGCCCCTGCACCCATGTGGGAGACTTGGCTAAAGCTCCTGGCTTTGGCCTGGCCCAGCCCCAGCTATTGCAGCCATTTGGGGAGAGAACCAGCAGATGGAAGATCTCCTTTTCTGTATTGCCCTGCCTCTCTGTATAACTCTGCCTTTCAAACAAACCAAAACAAATCTTAAATAAATAAATAGATAAATAAATAAAAGAAGGGTGAGAGCTACGGAAGGAAGACAGAAGGGAGAAACCAGGATGAATGATTTCAAAAGGGAGAAGAATTCTAGGTTATGATGGAGAGAAGGGTGAAGGACACCTGAGAGATTAGTTATTGGAAAAAGAGAGGAAACTGTGGCGTTTGGGTGGGTGCGAAGATGACTTGACTTCTGCTGGCTGGTTCTTTTTTTTTTTTTTTTTTGGCAGGCAGAGTGGATAGTGAGAGAGAGAGAGACAGAGAGAAAGGTCTTCCTTTAGCTGTTGGTTCACCCTCCAATGGCCGCCACAGCCAGCGCACTGCAGCTGGCGCACCGCTCTGATCCGAAGGCAGGAGCCAGGTGCTTCTCCTGGTCTCCCATGGGGTGCAGGGCCCAAGCACTTGGGCCATCCTCCACTGCACTCCCTGGCCACAGCAGAGAGCTGGCCTGGAAGAGGGGCAGCCGGGACAGAATCCGGTGCCCCGACCGGGACTAGAACCCGGTGTGCCAGCGCCGCTAGGTGGAGGATTAGCCTAGTGAGCCGCGATGCCGGCCGGCTGGTTCTTTCTGTTACAGTAGGTGCTAGAGGAGTAACAGAACCAATCTAGTTTTAACTGGTTTAATATTTGAGAGCACAAAACAGATCTGGTGTGGTCTTCACAGCAGCCTCTTCCTGATGCCTCCTGTCCTTGAACTGAGGACCAAGAAAGGGCCTCTCCCCGGAGGCTTCTCCCCTCGGAGGCCTTGGCACTCACCACACCAGCTGACTCCTCACGTGGGCCCTGTCGGGGTCCGACTAGTTCTCATTCAGCATGTCTCCCATATTCGTCATCATTTCCCCGTAACGCCAGTTCCTTTTCTGACATCCCTGTTTCTGTTAGTGGCATCATCATTCTTGTCACCCAGCCTCAAAACCTCAGCTAATCTGGGACTATTTCCCCTCTTTGTCTCCCTAAATGGAATCAGTCACCAGCTTACTGTAAGTTCTCTTTAACATCCATTGTGTCAGTCTGTTCCATCCTTTTTTTTTTTTTTTTTTTTGGACAGGCAGAGTTAGTGAGAGAGAGAAACAGAGAGAAAGGTCTTCCTTCCATTGGTTCACTCCCCAAATGGCCGCTATGGCTGGCGCACTGCGCTGATCCAAAGCCAGGAGCCAGGTGCTTCCTCCTGGTCTCCCATGCGGGTGCAGGGCCCAAGTACTTGGGCCATCCTCCATTGCACTCCCGGGCCACAGCAGAGAACTGGACTGGAAAAGGAGCAACCTGACAGAATCCAGCGCCCCAGCTGGGACAAGAACCCAGAGTGCCGGCGTCACAGGCAGAGGATTAGCCTAGTGAGCCATGGTGCTGGCCAGTCTGTTCCATCCTTAATGCCATCATCCTAGCTCATACATTTTTGTCTCATATCTCTACTGTCTCATATCCCTACTGTTAACTTTTCCTCACAGCTATTCTGTCTGCTTTGAAATTCTCTTTTGTCAAGTCCACTCTGTACCTTACAGCTTAGCCTTCCTAAAACTATGCTTTCCTCATTCACCTGGTTAATGATGGCTTCTCATTTCCTAAAAGATAAAGTCAAATATTGTTGATGAGATTTCAAGGTATTAGACATTTCTTTATAGTAATTCTTTGAACCAGATTACTAGGTGCTACTTTTCATCAAGTTGAATAGAAAGAGGAGTTGTCCATCAGAGTTCAGATCCTTGTGAGACAGAAGACAGATACATGTAAACAGATGAGTTGATATAATAGAGTACCTGCTTCTGAGTTATAAATGTAGGTACTTATCCATCATGCATTTAATTTAATGTAAAACACAGCTGTGATACTTTTAGAAAATCCATTTCACAATCATTACAAGTTAAATTGTGAGTTTATTAAAAGCTGTAAAAATTCAGCTGAAGCAAAGGCACACTTCTCGCCACCTGTGTGCTGAGGGCACAAGAAGCTGGGCTAGGCAGAAGAATGTCCTTCTCTTTTCCCAAGTGGTGTGCAGACCCCTTTGGCCTGGAAGTGGGTTGAACGTGTGTCCCTAAGCTGACTTTCCCAGGTACTAGCCGGCATGCCATCTGCTTTTTGTAGCAGATCAACTGCCAACTCAGAAGGACTAAACTTGCCTTTGATCTGTAAATTAGACACTTGACCAATAGACAGTGATGATGACCCATTGGAAAAGCCAAACTTCATTGTCCTGGCAGATGAACCAAATGAGTGTTCTAGGATGAGAAGCGAGAGACCTGGCCAGTCACGTATTTAAGCCATGAAGCCACCTGCTAAGAGTACATGTTATTTTCCTGATTTTATAAATAAAGAACTAAAGATCAAAGATTAAGTGAATCAAGGAATTATGAAATGGCAGTGCCACAATATTCTAGAATCCCTGCACTTCCCACCATAACTCTCAACCCCCACCTCCCTAGGAGAATGATTGTCCCTGAAGAACCTGGGAGCACAAACAGTTGCTAGGTTTGTTGTTGTGATACTCAGTTGCTACTAAATGTTAAACGTTTTTTTAAAAAATCTGTGATCTGCAAAACACCATCACTAGTTATGTTTTTGTCAGAGGTTTGGGTGAAGTTCTTTGCAGTTCTGGGGAGAGTCGGGTTATAGGCATAGCTCAGATGCAGGAACCTTAACGGCTTCATGGTTAATCCTCCATACCATACTCCGTGTGGAGTTTCCCCATTTGGAATCCTAGTGGAGTCAATGACTTCAGCCTGCATTAGCATTTGAAGGGATTTTGCATTCTAGGCTGCCTCTAGAATTGTGGCCCATGAATCACTTACTGTAAATAAAATCAGTCTACCTGTTACTGTTCCCTTCTGTGGTGACTTTATTTTAAAAGAGCAGAAATTGAAGGGACAGATAGATGCTATAGACAGACACTTAGTTGATTGAAATAATCATTGAAGTTATCATTTCATTTAAACCAGGTAAAGCCAACTAACAAATGTCATTGAAATGGTTCAAACTTCTACTAATAGTCTGATGTTAAAAGACTTATCTTTTTAAGTAAAATGTTTGCATTAATATAAAACTGTTTGTTTTCATTATTCATTAATACCGGTTGTAGTAGTTCAGCTAATGTCGTTCTTCTGGTTTGGCCTTGCCTCACAGAATACTTGAAAGGGTGTGAGCAGATATCCAGGCAGACAGACCTGTTTTTAATAGCCTTGTGCTAATGTCCTCATTTGGGGGGAAGAGATGTGTAAATATTTGTTTACGATCATCAGACTACTTCCTCTTGTTCTTCAATAAATGTGTAAATTTTGGCGGCATTATGTAAGAGCATACATATAGAGACAGAGAGAGAAAGAAAGAGATACCTCACACCAGAGATGCATGAAAACAAACAAACATCTGATCTCTGTCACGGTATCCCAGAAAGTGGATTACACTGGATCTTAAAAAGCCGTGAGTATTCATGCAACAACTCTGGCCTCAGTACTCGTCTGTGAAGGGAGAGGGCTGGATTAGATTGTTTCTGAGGTCCCTTCCTTGCGTGTGAATCCTGTTGTAGCAGGGATTTCTCCACCCCCTGAATAAAAGATCAGATGTGAGCGGTAGTTACCGAGGAGCAGTGGTTGACAAGAGGGCGTCTGGACTCAGATTGCCTGTGCTCGGATCTCATGTCTGCTATGCACCAGCTATGTGACACTTTGAGCCGTCATTTAGCCTCTGCCTCAGCTTTGCCGTCTGTAATGGAGTGCTGATGGATTTCTGGGTGATGGTTAGGCTACCTGCCACCTGAAGGTGTTATGAGGCTTGATTGAGTTAATACATGTCAATGGCAGAGCACTGTCTAGCACATATTATCAACGTTTAGCGCAATGTTTTTCTTTTCTCATTATTGCTATTATTGCTTAAATTCTTTAAAAACTATACTATCGAACTCTGAGGTAATGGTAATTAACTT